GGTTTGCCTATTTTGCTTAATTTTGCCAATCGCTCGCTGGGAATTTAACGTCAGCAAAGAAATAGCTCCTAAATTAGAAAATCACAGCCTCATAACAAACACGCATATCTCCTGATTTAAACAGATCACAAACAAACAGAGATAAACAGGTTGGAATGTACGTATTTAAAAGTCCAAAATTCAAACCACTTTGTTCTTCTTAAATTTTGTCCTTCCTTGGCTTCTTTTGAATTAGCTTTGTTCCTTTACTTCCTTAACAATGTTTTTCAAGGGATATTTTTCTATTTCGCTCAGTTTGGCGGTCAGGTCTTTATGGCCGAATTTGGCTAAACTGCATAAGTAACCTTCTTTCCAGAGGACGGCAGTGTAAAAGCACTATAGTTGGTACTTATGCGACACAGGTCACCAAATACGTTTCTTGAACAACGCCGTCGTGCAAGCACAGTTCAACCGTCATTCCGAAATATTCCGTTAAGTTATCAAAGACAAGCATTATTCATACCTCTGCTAATTTCTTTCCATTTTGAGTTGTAACTGGTCTCTCGCTATCTTCCTCGTAGAGATCAACCTTGTTACCAACGATCATAATCGCTGTTCCATCGTCTGTTCCTTCCTGCAAAAAGAATACAGAAAACAGTTTCAAAACTCTTAGCCGTAATATCAATATACACCTTCCCATACCGTTCCCCGCGCAGTTTTTATGGTACTGGCCCTGGCTGTCGAAACATTGGATAGGGCTATCCAGCGGTTAAATCACTAACCAGCGGATAAGTATTAGTAGAAACAATTGCGCCATCCGGTGGATTGAAATTTATCCAAATGATAGCGTCATCCAATCTTTGAACAACTGGGGCCTGATGGATAGAATTTGTTTCATAATCAATCATCATTACGACCTTCATGTTTGAGTAAAACATGCTGTTTAAAAAATGCAATCTGATGCTTGTCACTTCAGTCAAACTTTCTTTATACGGACTGATACCAGAGCGACAGTGCCAAGTGTCCACATTGAGGTATAGGTACAGAGGTATAGATTGTATAAAGTTTGGTTTTCTGGTATCAAGGAGACTGCCATAATAGAAAGCCACCTGTGAAAGGCCTCCCTGGTCCCTGTGCGTTTTGAGCATTAGTCTTCGCGATCTCCGCACATTACTATCTTAGGGCCTACAACAGGTTACATTGAGAGGAGTCTGAGAAGAGTTTTCCGATTGTAAAATTACCCCTGGATTGTCTCGTTGGAAGTCATAACTACTGAACTGGGATTTTTGCATTGCATTGAATCTACATCAACACTTTTTAACCAATAGAGGTTGTATCGGTCTTTTTGTTTGTACATGCGTTTTATACTAAGTCAACTGACCCCAATCCTCAATATGGACACGAAAGGTACACAGGGCCGTGTCCTCATTCGTAGTTGGAACCACGTGACAAGGCGGCCATTTTGGTGGTCTATACAACAAAATTTCTCTCGACAAATGTTTGGTAAATAATGGAGTTTAGTTATGCCTTGGCTCTTCCCCACCAACATGGCCGAAACGAGCAATTCGAGAGGTAGGGACTGTATGCAGTTTGGTATCATTGGGATCAAAAGAACTGTCTGTAATGGAGAGGCGAGGTCGGTATTATCGAAATTTCCGATAGGAAAAATTCGACTTTAACCGACTAGCTTGGATGGAAGTTCATGAAACACAGGCCTATAAGAGTAAAATGAAATCGAGAAACTTTTTTGTTTGCTTGTTGCTGTTGTTTTAAACATCTTATTACCTCGACACTTATCATCCAGTTCTTGATGTTTAAAAAGGACGTCTCCATGGTAACATCATAAAATACAATGACACCATCTGCCTTTCTAAAATACTGTTTTGTGATACTTCTGAATCTGCAACGTAAATAAGAGAAGAAGAAATTTAATTTGTTTCATAATAACTCGACTGGATCTCAACAACGACGGCGGTAGCGAAACGTCGCTAAAAAAAGAAATTGTGAAATTTTAAACTAAGTTGGGATAATTACAACTCTTTCAGTGGGTAAATGCTGGTAAATTTTCCTGGATTCGAATCCTTGGGGGCCGTACCCAAGTTTGTAAAGAGTAAGAGCGAGTGCGAGGCAAATTAAACCACCAAAAAAGGTGACACACGTGCAGATTGGTTGCCTTGCTGATCGAATCTATTTCGTTTTTGAAGTTCTCGATGCCGCCGCCGTCGTCATTGCTAAATTTTTCCTGACACGGTACAATAACGAGGCAAAACCTGCGCGTTCACTGGCCGATTTTATAGATCTCAATAATGCATTATGTTCTGGTTGGATACGTAAAACCAAATGGCCCCGGTTGTTCAAACATTGGATAGCGCTATCCACCGGATAATTCACTATCCAGCGGATACGTTTTATGGAAGGCAACTGCCTTATCTGTAGGATAAAAATTTATCTATTAGATAGCGCTATCCGCCTTTTCAACAGCTGGGGCCTTGTGATTATATCAGGGCAAGTTGTTCGTATCGGGAATGGAATGTTTTGTCAAAATCTTCGGGTGAAGAGAAGCGACAACCGGAATATGGCTGCGTTCACAGGCTACTGTATGAACGCCTACAACAGGGCTATTTTGTCTGAAAACCTAATGAGTACCTTTCTTGCCCAGCGGTGTCCCAGAGCTGAAGTGCAATACATCTGCCCTCTAAATTCATGGTCTTGATTTGGAAGTCGACACCTGAAACAGAAAGCAATTGAAATTAAGGTCACAAGGAAAGGTTTAGCCTGAGAAAACAGCCGACTTTTGCCGACGCTACCACTGGTTTCCCTGCCAAATGACTTCTGAGAAACGAGCGCAGAAATTCTATACTGATGACGCGTCACTTCCCAGATCTGGGTAGTGCTTCTGATTGGTTAAATCAAATTTCCCACGCGGCACGACCAATCAGAAGCACTACCCAGATCTGCGTAGTAACGCTTCATCAGTATGGAATTTCTGCGCTCGTTTCTCATACGTCATTTGGCGGGCAAACCAGTGGTAGCGTCGCCAAATATCGGCTGTTTTCTCAGGCTAGGTAAGGCTGGATGGTCTTCGGCGAAGGCCAAATATCCGGCTACTCAGTGCCCGACTTTGCATTATACAGACCTCTTTCTCACATGGAAAGGTTTATAATATTCGTGGTGGGAAGGTATGCCGAAAGGTTTTGTAATATTAATTTCCTTACATAAACGCAGCATTTCCCTTTGAAAATCAAGTGTAAACATAAAATACAAATCTTATAACACGACACCTAAGTCCTTTATGGATCAATTTAGGTTCTGGGAAACTGCCCACCTACCCCTCCCCTAAGCTAACATTAACACTTACTTCTCACTTAGGGCTGAATGTTGACTTAGGGGAGGGGTAGGTGGGCAGTTTCCCAAAACCTAAATTGATCCTTCTTTATTGGCGATCATGCTTCGCTTTCTGCTTTGGTGGACTGGCAAAAATACAAGAATATTTGAGCTCTGGTCAAAAGACAAAAAACAGAACATTTAAGCTTAAAGTTGTAAATGATTTAGGAGACGTTTTTTATGCTCTGACAGGCAACTGTCAATAAAACAGGCCCATTTTAAGGGGGGGGGGGGGTTACAGTTGAATTTTGGGGGAATTGGGGTTGAATTGAGAATGAAAGAAAGAAGGATAGAAGAGGGTATACACGTAAACCAGTCAGGGCCACCTTGTTGTGGTGGCGGACTGTCAGGTCTTTGTCTATTAATTATTCACTCCAAATTTTTGATTTTTAAGTACCCTTAAATCCAATATTTTCTCATTTTCCATAAATTTTAACATTTGCCCTTCATACTTTTACTGATTACAAATACTCTACTAATCACCAAAATATTCTAAAAAAGTCATCGCTCCAAGAACTTTAGGAAGAGTGCTTAATTCTTAAAATCGAATGACATTTTACTACATTTTCAAGGAAAATTACTCAGGTATAATACAAACAAGGCGTTTAACTGTAATCCCCCCTTAAGCGTTTTCAAATAAATACCTAATACTGGTGTTAAAGCTGAGAGTCCTCTTGTATTTGTTTACTTTCTTACTCTATTTACCTATGGTTGCGGTGAATGAGGGTTTCCATGTGTCGTGACAAAACCGGTGAATAAAACTAGATTTGCCAACACCGGAGTCACCGACAAAAACCACTTTGAACACTCTCTCTGGAGTGGATGCTTCACTAACGACTGATACACCAGCTTCACTCATATCCTGCTGTAGGGTGCAAAATTAATACAAAAAATAAGTGATCATGTAAAGTACGAGCCATGCCTATGTAATTGGACAGCACAAGTCATCGCGCGAAACTAAAGTTGGGTCTAATTTTCCGTCCCAAACTAAATTCATAGTAAGAAGCAAGTAGATGACTGTGCAACTTCCTTCCAAGGTTTCTCTCATACTCCACCCCCGAGAGAACCGTGGAAATGAGGTTGAGGGTAATGATGCTGTCTCATTTAGACTAATATGAAAAATCCCTTTTTTAAAACATTTTCACGTAACATGTCACTACATGTCACCTAACATTACTATCAGTAACTACGACAGTGCAGGGGCGGATCTAGGGGGAGGGTGCAGAGATGACCTGCGGTTTTCTAATACAACTGGTATTCTGCAAAAAAAAAAACTATGTGGTTTATTGGTGTTGAAGTAGAGCAAGAGACGAGTGCACCCCCTCCTAAAAAAAATCCTGGATCCGCCCCTGCAGTGGTAAAAATCGTAAAAGAACATGGCAGCAGGGTGAATGAGATCCGGAGTTTACCTTGCTGACCTTCTGTCCAGAAAAATGTAATTAAATGTTAGGTAGTGTAAAGCTTCAATTCTACTTACGGATACTGCGCGACACATTTCGTTATCTTTGCCAACAGGAGCTGCACGTGGAGAGGAAGGTCTGTCATCAGATGCGCTGCCATTCCCGTCACTTATGTCTTCAGTGGACAAAGACATGTCAGATTCTTCTCTAACTTCTTGTAATCTGCCGCGTGCTGGACCTACATAACCACATTAACAGGAAACAAAGAAAAGTGAAGCTTAAAAACAAGAGCAACGAATCCGGCCATAGAGTTTCATTTCCCCCTTATAATTAGAGTGCGATCTTAGGCTATGTCCACAGGATATCGTTTGAGTTTGTTTTTATTTTTGTTCACGAAATACACGAGCGGCTGTGAGAAACGAGAGCGACCTCCCCGCTACCGCCCTCACTTCTCGCGTGTTACGCAAGAAACCCCCAATAACTTTGAAAGAAGAGACGAGACAACCTGCAGTCTACTTCAGAGTCCACGGGCGTTGATCGTTACTTGGTTCACATGTTGATAGAAGCTGTTTATATACTTCTGTTTGTATACGCTTCACACAAATAAAAGGACTCCTGAGTACAAAAGTCTAACGTTATCACTTACTTGCACCGGATATTAACTCAGCTTTCCTTTTTCTAAACACATCCTCATCAAGTTCTTCATCACTAGCCTTCAACTGGCCTTCTTTGTCCTCGATCGCAGCTTCTGAAAATATTTACTACGTTGTTTAATTGGGGTAATCATGGAACAACGCTGTTACAACGACGGAAAAGTGAAAGACTTAATGAACGCCAACCTCAAACCAAGTTCTCTTCGCCAGGCTTTCATTAACCATAAAAGTTCGAAGTAAAATATGGCCTTTCACGGGAAAGCTACAGAGAAGTCGTGTCAATAGCACAAAAAAAAGTGTTTTAATTACATTCAGTTGGCAGAAGTGATGCCCTTTGTGTTGGAAATCTCTCTTTCAGCCCTTTCCATTCTAACTGGCCACAAAAAAAGCAGTCCAAAAAGGAGGGTCAAAAATGTGGTTTTTTTAGATACATGATGGCCATCGTCAAAAAAGGGTTAAGAACGTTGCTAACCTTTAGGTTGAACGGCGGACAATATTTTTTGGGCCCAGGCCGGTCTTTCCATTTCTTGCGCTTTCTCGTCCGTTATAAGTTCTAGTGTAGGATCGCCCTCAAATTCGGCTTCTTCTCGTATAGAGTTTGGAAAAGACACAGACCTAAGGTTGAGAAAACAATTTTAATTAGTTAAGATCTTAGACTGCCATGCCTTCGTATAGTTATGACGTGAGTCGAACCCTTCCGTCCCGGCAATTTCACCACTAACACCCTTAAAAACATTTTCAGGTACGTAGACAATAACCTCTTAAATAGACAGTAAAACGAATTAACACTAAAATCCACCACAAAATGTCTTAAGGTCGTTGGGTGAAAAAAAAAACAACAACAAGTTGTAAGGGGTGTAGTTCTTTCATTACATTGAATACTTGTGTTAATAACCATAACGTTTTTCGTCAAGGTACGCACAAGAAACTTCGAAATGTTCATCAATGAGGGGAGCTAGAGGGCTTGTAGTCTCCTTCGCAGCCGTTTTTTGGATGTCACGCAACGTTGCGTGACATCCAAAAAACGGCTGCGAGGGAGACTAGGGGGTTTGGGGATGTACTTAAAAAATGTTTTCACGGGAACGCTTCGCCCAGAGGTTCTGTCTCTTTCCCTGTTATTATACCAGTTTTAGATAAGGTCTCCCTTTCGCTAGTCTGCTACACAGCCGTTTTTAGTGTCGTCACACAACGCTCCTCACACTAAAAACGGCTGTGTAGCAGACTACCCTTTCGCTTACCCTCTATAGAAAAATGGTACTTTTTGCATAACTCCTTACGAACACTACATTGTTTTTCTAAACTCTTGCAATGACGCTAATGTGCGTCTGCTTATAATATTTTGAAGGGCCCTTTAAATACCTTAGTAACAGATTTCCCTTTATTCTTATTTACTGATAGTTGATTACTTTTTTACACTCAATGTTTGTTATTTATGTTAATGTTACTTTTATTTTCTATTTTTAATTGCGAACCCTTCTGTATAGGACTTCCCGATGTCGGCCTCTTCATTTAAAATTAGTTTTGTTCTGTTTGATTGCTAAGATCGGCAATGTTCATAGAAGGAAATATCGTGAGAAATGGAAAGCTGATCAAATTAACTCACCCTTCGTTGATCTTTGAGCCAAAATAAGAGTACATAACGGAGCCTTGCTTCTTGATGTCACGCCGTTTAGAACGCCTTCTGGATCGAGCACTTTCACTTAAAACAGGTTTAAAACAGGTTTAAGAAAAGTTTAAGATGTACCGATATGAAATTATGAAGTTCAAATTTAAAGAAATCAGACAAGAGATATTAAATGGTACTGGATTAAACTACCTAAGACAGATCTTAAAAACGTTTAACAATACTTTTTAAGGGTGTTATTGAATGTAATAGTAGTTTAATGAACCATGCCTTCACTTCGAAAAAATTATTTTCATCTTTACTCGAAAATATTTCTGTTCAGAGGTTAGGCTTATTCTCCCTTTCGTTAAAATTTTGTAACTACAAAATTATACCTTAAATTAAATTTTAAAGGATCTGATGTTGTAGCTTTTTTGCTATGACTTCCTTAACGTTCGAAACAGAACTTGATCTTACGCTGAAGCTTTAATGGTGCCCTTTTAGCTGAGGGCTGGGAGACTCTAATCACCACCTCCCGCTAACTACCAACACTTGCTGACATCCTGTAGTTTTCAATTTCCGCACTGGAACATTTTCACGTCCTCTTTAAAACATAAGGAGGGATAGGGGTGGGGAAGAAATATATTCTGGAAGCAAGAACGTCCTCATTGAAGACTAGTGCTATTGGGGACCTTAAGATACACCATTTCTGCCGAAGGGTTAGTTTCGGGGAACATGGTCGTAATGTGTGTATGTTAAACAGGACCAAGTTTTCCCAAATGTAACATTAACTCTACCCGGTAGACTGGTAAAATTATCCGTACCCACGCAGTGAAACTCGTGTAACATAATTGTTTCAACGCTCTCCTATCTGTCTCCGAGAACTCAAGGCTGTGGGCATCTCTTAAATTTTTCTTCCACTGGCGAGCAGCGAGGTGCGAAAGACACAAGAGACGAAGGGACGCCATCAAGTTCTGCCACTAACTTTTTCACGAAAGAAGAAGACTCCGAATCTGACTTTACTATACGGATCTCCCCACACAAACACCACCCCCATACCCCCCCACGCCCCCGGCCACCACACACAACCACACACACCTTTTATCAACCTCTCTCAGCAGAAAAAAAATAATAATAACATCTTGACCTCCAACAAACCTTCTATCACTAGGCCCATCAATGTCATCTCCGCTGAGCGATTCCACTGATCCCTGGTGACCCCATGTTTCTTCGGCGCCAGGGCTGCGTCTTTTCTTTATGTACTTGGACATCTGCGAGCCTTGCCGAGGCACTTTGGTCTTATTCTACAAAGATAAGGTCATAAATTGCAACTCAATAGGAAGAAATTGCCCAAAACTTTTACACCTAGCCTCCTGTACTCGATCCTTTTGTTAAAGATATAACATTCTTCTTGCTCTCATGGTGAAAAAACTGTCAACAAAACTGTGAACAAACGAAAGGTACTAAACAGTATTTGTTCATGGTAATTGTTTATGCCAACGATGAAAATGGATATGTTGATAACGTCCTCGGTGTTTTCGTTCACAATTGACCAAGCGATCATCGGAATGTTTCTATGAAAGTTATTTTCTGGTAGATGGGACTTAATTGAATGAGCTCTATTTCCGGGAGTGTGTACTATTCTGTGATGCTGGAACTAATTTTCTACAGGCTTGTGACTACAATGGAGGTCAAAAGAGTTAAGACAATCAACGTAAATGGGTAAGATTCTCTCTCCTTCCTTCCTCAAAAAATATTGAATTTCTACGAAGACGGATGCAAATAAGATTTTTCTTTTTGGCAAAATTTCTGGGAACGAGAGAAGGGCCTGATACCGATAAAAAAAATTGTTATCAGGAGATAAGGCCCACAGTAATAATCATTTGAAAGCCTTTTCGACCTCCATTGTAGAGTCTTTATGGGTTACGATACAATATAGAGAACATTGCCTAATTTCAAACCGAGGGGGACTGTGTATGAGACTGAGTATTATGGGATCATTACTATCGGAGCCACGCAATAAATACGAGCACGCCTAGCCTCCTCAGCAGGCTTCACTGTCCTGTTTCACAGAACGAGTGGGAAAATGGGGAGAGAACGGAGAGTGACAGCGATGCCTGCCAAATATCGGCAAGGTGATGACCTTCTGCGCATGTTGGCTCGCGCATACAAATCCAATTTGTGTAGGGGAGAGTGGGGAGATTTTGAGAAACAAAACCATTGACTCTCGCCTTCGGTTGGAAATTAAGCAATTTTGATTCCTTTTTCTAAAAATTACGTACGGGGAAAAAAGTACGAAAGAGGTACAACAGATACAGGGGTAAGGACAGAGGAGAAAGAGGAACTCAGAACAATTAGTTGATATTTATATGTTTTAATTCTTTTCTTTTTTTGTGCCGTTTATTAATGCTGAAACTTTACAACATAATGCATTATGGAGTTCAGACTTCCATAGATTACAGCATCAAACATTAAAACTAAAAGTATCTTTTAGGTTTATGTTTGTTACTTTAGCCTTTGCAATTTGCAAACTTTTAAAGACAGCAAGCATAACAACATAGGAATATAACTTTAGATGATTTACAGAGGCGTTGCTCGTTTGCTTTCATTTATTTATTTAGTTAGTTTATACTGAATTTCTTACCTCGGCCTCTTCAATTTCATCACTAAGACTGCCATATCCTCTTTCTCTTTTCTGTTTAATAAGTAGCATTTATGACATCATTTACTTTAAATCATGATGTGCGTGAACGAATTTCTCCCTAAAGTTATCGCTTATTGACTGTCTTTTATCCTTGGAATTTGCTAACATTATTTTTCTTTTTACGGTGCCATAGGAATCCCTAGCTCGTAGGCCCCTTTACAAAATTGACAAACTGCAACGCCATATTTCTCCACAGTTGATCCTTACACACATTTTAATCAACCAGCAAATCGAGAGAATAAACAAAGAACATCAAAAATATCGTTAAAATGATGGTCGATTAGAATTATACGGGGTTTATTTGACATGAAAATTCAAGGGATATTTCAAATGATTTGGACACCATAACATCAGGGTTAGGCGTTGGGTTTAAAACACCTTAAAATAACTGTTTTTAAGTGTTATTTTTTAAGCAAGAACGTAATCCTCAACGTTTATACGGTATATTAATTATTAAGATAATTTTAACGCGTGTTACATTGCCTCATGCCAGATATCAGTTTGGAAAGTACAATTATCCACCGCCACCATGATTTCTTTTCAGAACAGAAAGAAAGTCGAGACAACAACGAAACGATCAGAAATAAAACGTAAAATATTAAAAGATTTTATTAATTGAAAAACCTGTCAGCCAAGTCTAAGCTCATCGTCTCTTTGTGTCCCATCAATGAATTTAGTTGCAAATTAACAAGGAATTAGCTTTTATTTGTGAGTTTATTATAGGGTCAAGTTCTTTTATTCAGCGTGAGTTTTTCATGTTAAACTAAAGTCTTATGGTTGCTGTTAAGATTAATAAAAGGTTAAGGAAGGAAAAAATAACAATTAAAAAACAAAGAAAACAAAACAAAATCAAATACATACAGCCATTAACATCTGAGGAGAATCCACAGGTGAATCCCGCACATGCGCAGTAAGCATTGGCAAAAACAAGTCAGTTAGTTAAAAGGAATTATTATTAGCATGTATTCACCAGCCTTTGTTTAAGTGGCATCTGTGCTTTTACAACGACAGTCTGGGTTGGAAAAGCTCTCGGTTCACCGCTGATTTTAAACCAAAATGAAAGTAATTACCAAGACCAATCACAGCCTACGATAAACGTCTAATGAACTAACAGAACTCATGATAAGAAAATGCAGCAAGTGAAAAGCGCGGGAACTTGACGTTAAAAGTTGTAGCAGGTAAAAAGCGCGGGAACTCGACGCATGAAAATGTAGCAAGTAGAAAGCGCGGGAAGCCGACGTATGAAAATGAAGCAGGAAAAAAGAGCGAGAACTCAACGTGAGACAATGCACCAAGTGAAAAACTCGACGTAAGAACACGTAGCAGGGGCGGATCCTGGATTTTTTTTAGGAGGGGGTGCACTGGTCTCTTGCTCTACTTCAACACCAATAAACCACATAGTTTTTTTTTTTTGGCAGAATACCAGTTGTATTAGAAAACCGCAGGTCATCTCCGCCCCTGCGTAGAAGGGGAAAAGCACGAGGAGACGTGAATACGTGAAAAAATGACGTGAAAAAATGTAGCGGGTGAATAGCGCGGAAAAGCACAACTAGTTTTGAGCTTACTTCTGATAGGTCGCGAAAACAAAATAGATTTTCTTCAAACTGTTTCATCAGACAGGTCTTATTTAAGGCGAAGTTCAGGACTTCAGTGAAAACGCAAAGAAACTTTACTAAAAATTGTCGAAACGTCAGTCACATTCAACAACAACAGTCCTATTCAGGACTACGTTCACCCGGACGATCAAACTCAACCTACTCTTGAAATGACTCCTGGGTTCAAACCTTTCACAGCTTTAATAAAAATATAGCGTACCTTTGTTGCTCTCCGTTCGCGATTGTTTCTTTTGTTTCGCCACTTTACCGCAGTTTAATTTTAGCACTTTTAGCAAGATTAATTTGCCTTGTTGACAAAGCCAGTTTACCAAAAAATACAGTCATTGTAAAAGCACACACAACACCACCAAACAAAGAATGGTATCAGGTTAAATAGAATTCATTCAAAGAGCAAATCTTTTCCAACAAAAAACTAGGTTAGTTGCTAAAAGTTGACTGGATCAGCTTAATTGTCGGACACGTTGTTTATAATTTAAGTCAGTTTCAGTGAGCATCAGATCGAGGCACTCCCCCGCCTCAAATATATTATGGTAATTCTACAAACTTCAAAATATGGGATCTATCTCCGGATAGTTCGAATTCAATCTACAAACGATTTTCAGAGGAATGTACTAATCCATAATTCCAATGATGAAAAATAACAATACATACAGCCTACACCAAGAGGCATGAAAGCACAAAAAGCGCTGTTAACTCTTGATCATACCTTATTTATGAAAGATTGCGAGGAAGGGAAAATACAAGTTGAATGTACAAAGTAAAGTAACGTCGAACGTGGATCAGTGAAGTGGGTACATATAAACATTTTTTAACACATCGTAATCCAATCAGAATAATTTGACACCTGTAAAATAAGGGCCTGGCTCAGAGCGGAAACGCTGTTGCGGAATAGTAGTTTCCTCTAAAAGTGGAAAACGGTCATTTCGAAACAAAGTTGCTCGCGGAAGCACGCAGCAAGTTAGGGGCCTATGTTTGTGTGGCTACAAAGGGAAACAATGGCACCGCAACAGTGTTTCCGAGCGTATAGGTAGGCCTTAACCCTTTCGCTCCTAAAAACGCCCAAATAAAAATTGACATAAAATTAAATAATTTCAGTTTGTAAAATTTATAAGAAATAAATTGTACTGTGCAAAATTTGTTTCAAAGAGGTTTCAATTGATTGATATAAACACCACAAGATTTCTCCTTAAGACTTAAAAGCTAGGATAACAAATGACCTCAACAAAACTAAAAGTGAAAATATAGTATGGTTCCTCGACCCTACTTCATGAAAAAGGGTAGTCGGATAGGACTATCTCCCCGCGAAAGCAACTGGTTTATCAAGTTTTTCACTGCATTTAATCTGCTTTAAGATAACTCACCGCTTGATGCGCGGCTTCTATGGCGTCCTTGTCATCTCTGAGTTTCTGATTCATATCCCTTGAAAGAAATCAACAATAACGTTTTCAAGGCGGTACGTACAGTAGGAGGACATGACAAGGGCCACATGGAAATCCACATTCTTCGCATTATGGACTTGCGAATCGTGTGATTGATTGTGTTCGTGTTTTTTGCTCCAGGCTGTTTTCCTCCGTTTGTTCAGTACGATTTGACACTGACGAATTTAACCCTGAAGATTCTCGTTTTGGAACTGAACCAGCGTTTTCTACGAACAAACAATTGCTAACGCGCACTATAAATGGTTGCCTTGCAATGTAAAATAGCCCGTAAATGTTTCACGCAAGAGATCAATCACGATAAGGACTTTTTCATCTGAAATCTAAACGTAGAAGTGGGTTAAACAAGCGAAGAACAGCCGAGTTTTTCAGACGTTTGAAAAACGGATGAAAACACCCTTTTGAGTCCTTGATACAGGATCACAAATTAATAGCAAAAGGTCATAGTTTTTTCTCACTTAATGAGTTGGAGAACGGTATTATTAAAGGATAAGCCAAAAAAAACATACTGACATAAAAATATACAACAAACCCAAACAGGGCGATCCGGATTTGCACTGTTACATTTCCCTCCACACTTAGGTTTACTGCAACCTCCTTCTGACCTACTAACTCATACTGATTACGCGCCAAAAAATCAGTATGTGGCAGCAGAAAACTGTGGGAACTGTCCATCACAAAGAAAGTTGTATCAAACCGATTTTGATTCAAGTTGAACCACAGTAAATTTAGAAAACAGATTATCCGAGAAACTATCTTCTTGAGCACGTTCCGCGTGTCCCTACCTTAGCATGTCCAGCTGCTTTATAAGACTAGCTTGCTCCTTCTGCATTCCCTCTGATACTCGCATCGCAGCCCTAAAACGGGAAAGTTGTTATCAATTACAAAGAGCAATCAAATAAGCCCAAGGTAAACTAGGATGAGTCTCTTTTCCCCCTCAAAGTCACAACAAAACTGGAAAGGAAATCTCTGTTTTAAGCTTTTCAGTCTTCACGCCTACATTTCAACGCGCACATGTTTAGTTGACATTACCTTTTCACTTCAAAATTCTTAATCTTCAAACGAATGATTGTTTGAGCTACAGCACCCACTGGACTGCTGCCTCGAAAGAAGTACGCTAGTTTCGTGAACGACTATAGACTTTGAGGAAAGCGATATAATTACAATTCCACACCAACTGCAATCGAAGAATTGAGCTACCAGGCAAACTACGTTTGCTTTTATTTTCATTGACTGTACGAGGAGGAGCTAGCAACCCCTATTAAACACGACCACGCCCTTTCACTAGGGAAGGTTGCTGTTCCTAATTTTTTGCCAGTAACTGGTTTGCACGAGCCTCAGCTGAAGGCTGGAAAATTTCGTCGAACTTATTTTCAGCCACCTCTTATTTACTGCAAGAGAGAAGTCAAAATTGAGAAACTGCGAAACGAAATCCGATACGGGAGTACCAGTAATTACAAAATTGAAAACAAAAAAACCCGAAATACCGGTTCTGAGGATCATTCGCTGCCTGTGGACAAATGCTTTCGTTTTCATGTTCGTCAACGAAATTCCCACAATGGCACATCTCGACTTGGCAACCTCTCTCAGCGACATTGGGTGAAAAAGCTATATATGCTGAATGGGAGTCTGATTTATCTGTTGCAGAATGATCACAAGACAGAAATTCAATAGAAGGCACTTCGTCTGCTTCAGGACTCTTTCCATATGTACTAGGACGAGGTGCGGTATGGAAAGGACTCATTTCTGAGGGGCCAAATGGCCTGAAAATCGATTCCGACCCCGCATCGTTGAAGTTTTCAACGTCTTGGACGCGTTTCAGTTGATCAACGAGCATTATTAGGTCATCTAGAGAATACGGCACTGTCTGGCACTCTTTATTATGATAAATGTCATCTGAAATCCAGTCTGACGTCTGACTAAACTTTGAAAACGAGACGAGAAGCTGGCTATCAGGGAGCGTTTGGCTCTCTGTCGCCTTGCTTTCTGTCTTCTGATGATCTATGGACGGAAGCTTCTGAACGCTCGAAATATCTTGACCTAGTTGAATGGGCGCTACTAACGCTTGAACTTCAATATTTGGTTGTATTCCTTTAATATCATAAACAACAGACTGGTGTGACTCAACCAATGTGTTGGCATCACCAGGGACCAAATCTGGCATTTTCTGTGACTCTTCAGACTGTATTAATGGGTTAGTGAGATCCACAATTGTTTGACAATCTTTGCTGCTGTAGGATTTTCTAGGTTCCTCTGCCCTCGTCACCTTTTCGTCAGATATAAACGACCATGACACAGACTGACATTCGTTTGAAGCTAAATGGAGGTCAATGCCAGGATCTGTTTGGCACCATTCGTCGATGTAGGATAGCTTAGTTTCGTTCTCACTGTCCTTGGTGATACAAGGCCACAAATTCGTTTGACATTCCTTTGAAGCTAAACGAACAAGGTCATTGTCAGGCAGCGTTTGGCATTCTTTGCTGTTGTAAGATACTTCAGTTGCTGCTGCCTCCTTGAAGATTTGCGCAGACAGATGCGACCATGTCATTGTCTGACATTCCTTCGAAGCACCTTGAGGAAGGTCGTTGTCAAGAATTGTTTGACACTCTTCATTCGCGAACGAAATTTTGGTTTCTTCTGTGGCATTGACCTTCTCTTCGGGGATGTACGATGACGAATTGGTCTGGCAGTCCTTTAAAGCTTCAGGAAGAAGATCATTGCAAGGTAATGTTTGGCATTCTTTGCTGTCGTAAGATGTTTTAGTTGCTACTGCTTGCTTGACGATCTCCTCGGACAAATGCGACCACGTGATGGTCTGGCATTCTTTCGAAGCAACTTCAAGAAGGTCCATGTCTAGATCTCTTTGACTTTCTTTATTCACGTATGATATTTGAGTTTTTCCTGCGGCAGTCGCCATCTCTGCAGGGTTGGATGACAAACAATCGGTCTGGCATTTCTTGGAAGCTTCACGAAGGTCACTGTCAGGTAGCGTTTGACATCCTTTGCTGTCGTTTGATGTTTCAGTTGTAGCTGCCTCCTTAGCGATCTTGAGAGACAATTCCAACCATGTAGCGGTCTGACATTCCTTCGAAGCTGCTTGTAGAAGATCATTGTCAAAAACTGTTTGACACTCTTCACTCACGAGCAATGTGTCAGTTTCTCCTGTAGAACTCACTTTCACCTCAGGAATGAACCACCACGAATTAGTCTGGCATTCCTTTGAACCTGTATAACCAAGGCTCATTTCAGGTACTGTTTGACATTCTTTGCTTACGTAAGATATTTCAGTGTCCTCTTGCTCCCAGACGATATTTCTAAGGACAGGTAACCAGATTGTGGTCTGGCATTCCTTCGAAGAGGCTTGAAGAAGATCACTGTCAAGGAATGTTTGGCACTCTTCATTCGTAAAGGATATCTCATTTTCTCCTGCGACATTCGCACTGTCGCAAGTGTTATACGTACTTGAGGTTGTCTGGCATTCCTCTGAAACTGTAGAAAGACGGTCAACTTCAGGTAAGGTTTGACATTCCTTGTTTTCGTAAGTTTTCATAGTTTCGGCTGACGTTTTCCCAGTATTTTCCAACGTATTTGCCAATGTCGTGGATTGCTCTGACTCTGTAAGTAAGCGAGTATCACTGAACGCGGTCTGACACTCTTTGTCGTAGGAAGCAGGCCGAGATGCTAAAAACGCTTTATAATCTAACCCTTCTAGCCTATCGTGTGCCGGTAGTATCTCACATTGGGCTGATGATGTCATCAGAGTCCTGCCACTAGCCGTTTGACATTCTTTATTTTCACGACAAACGGTGGAAGGCGATCCAACATCTTCATTAGGATTTTTACTATCGTGAGATGCACGAAGGTAGCATTCTAAAGTTTGACATTCCTTACTTTCAAAAGAAACGAACTGGCACGAGCCAATGCTTTCTTTCCAAACCGTATCATGATCAGTTGTAAACGACGAAGAATCTGTCTGGCAATCCTTTGATGTCATCAAAACTTGTTCGAAATCTGGCGTGGTTTGACAACCTTCGTCGGAATATAGATGATTTTCACTCTGTCGATGCTCGACACCTTCAGGGTACTCGTTCACCTTCATTACTTTGTCTTGAACGCCATAGTCAGGAAACTTCACTTGAACAGCCACACTTGCAAAGGAAACGGTTTGTGGCTCTGTCTGGCACTCACCACTTGATTTGAATAAGACACCTCGCACAACATCGACCTCTGCCGTCTTGTTTGCTGGATATTCTCTGTCATCAGTGTCGTATGGAAATGAGGTTTGGCTTTCCGTATTTTTCCAATCTGGCGGAAAACCGCTCACCTTTTTTAGAGTTATGTCAGACCGTTGATCGGACACTTCCTGGATACTCCCTTGGGAGGATTCCGTATTTGATTCCAAATATTGTTGAAGACATTGACAGTGAATTGTCTTATTGCAGGTGTTCAGTCCGTCAGTGCGCACATCCTGGATTTCTAAATCATTTATTGTCGTGAATTCTTTTCCTAGCGCCTGATCCCTCTCGCATACTGATACTCCAACATCATTTGCAGCTTTCCCTTCGTTGACGTAAATCTGCGTTCCCTTCTCTGGTTTATCCGAGATATGACGGTTGTTGTTCCAGTCAGCAGATATCTGTGCTGCGGTTTCGCTATATAAGGATGCTTCATCCCCTTCGGCCAAAGCAAACGTACTTTTGTTAGTCAGATCACAATCACATACGTTTTCACACTCTTCCTCTCCAGTTGTTGCCAGAGCTCCATCTCCAGCCAGACTATCGTTAATATCGGAGGCAACAGAACAGGTATCTTCATTCACCACTTGCCTCTCATCGAAGAGAAAGTCGTTGTTCCAGTCAGTAGATATTTGTGCTGTGTTTTCACCATATGAGCATATTTCATCGCCTTTGGCAAAAGCAAACGTAGTTTTGATAACATTATCACTATCATATACGTTTTCACATTCTTCCTCTCCAGTTGTTGCCAGAGCTCCATCTACAGGAAGACTATCGTTTATATTGAAGGCAACAAAACAGGTATCTTCATTTACCACATGCCTCTCATCGGAGGACTTTCCTGTTTCCTTTAGTCCCACTAGAGGTAACTCGTCTCTTCTTTGGGTGGGGCTGAAAGCTGAAACTACATGAAGTGTATCTACCGTCAACACCATGGAATGCTCAGGTGCATCAGCCATCAGTTTTGTTGATGCCATGTCACCACAAGGACCTTCAGGTACTTTACTACACGGCTGGTCTGACATATCAATTGCGTTGTCTCTTACAGAGTCTACGCCTTGGTATTTAGCAGATACATTTGACATTCCAGGAAAACATTCAAGTGGTTTCTCATAGATTATGCTTTCCTCTTCTTCGTGTTCTGACAACAACCTGGTTTGATTAGCAACAGAATCTGATTCACCAGTAGCCTTCAGTGTGCTGTCGATAACATTCCCACTACCAGAGTAGCCAGAAAGAGGTCCGTGCAAAATTTCGAGAGGAGGGTCGAGCGAACTATCTTTGTCAGGTTGTATGTATGAGGACAAATCGCCATCTTCTGGTGTGCTTTCGTCATTAACATTCAAAACGACGTCCTCTGGAGAAACATTTGTTTCCCCACCTTCACGGAAGTGCTCCTTATTTTTCGAACGTTTTTGTTCTTTCCGCTTCAGCGATAGCTGTTCTCTTTTCACGACTTCCTCAGTAGCCATAACCTTTTCAACATTGTTATCAGGAGGCGCATCCGTTGCACCGACCTTTATGGGCTCCTTTGAAAACACTTCCTTGCCATTGTCCGAGTTGGTATCAAAACGTCCAAAGGGTAAGGCTGCTGCTCTCACAACATGAAATGACAGAGAGTTCGAACGTTTATCAAAAATCTCTGAATCTGAGTGGCCTTTTTTATCACTACGAACTAAGGAAATGCTTTGAGTATTTGGAAAAGACAAAACAGGAGTGCAAGTTTCGCCCCATTGTTCGAAATAATTGTTAACGAAATCAGCGTTTGTTTCGCTCTTATCCCTCTTATTCTCTCTCGTGGTGAAACCCTTCTTAGGTTTTCTTAGGATATCCGAGGAGTCGAAGTCACCCAGTGGTCGTTTAGTATATCCGGTCGCCTTATTCAAACATTCGACGGGTCTGCTAGGAGATTTTCGACGTGAATTTGATTCTTCAGGTGCTACGGAGTCTGGGAAACCATCGCTAGTCTTAGCTGGTCTTGCCTCAAAATGACTTTCGCTTTCTTTAGTGGGGCGCACTACTGGTTTGTCGTCAGTGGATCTTGTTCTTTTATTTGATTGCGTGTGAGTACTTTGTTGACCGAGAGCTGAGATGTACGGTGCAGAAACGTTCTCTTTACGACTTGCTTTTTCTTCCTCGAGTGTTTGGCTTTTGTTACAAGTTGAACTGGATTGAACGCCTTTCGTTTCTTTCACAGCAGCCTTTTGCCGTTGAGCTTTGTCCGGAAAACGTTCCGATTCAGCGTTATAAGATACATTCTCAGGAATATTCGAGCACTGTTGATCTTCTACTTTCGACATAATTTTCCATTCATCACCATTGCCACCGTCATCTGAAAGGTAGGTATCTATTGTTGAACGTATAGCAGGAGTCAAAAGTTCGGTCTTTTTTTCTCTACAAATGCTTTCCTGCTCAACGGCAAGCTCTTCGTTTATTGTGACAATTCCAGCTACTTGAGGATCCTGCTGCAGCTTGTTAGGATGAACCATACTTCCAATAACTGATTCTGTTTGTGTTTCGGGGAGATCTCCGATTTTTTCATCTCTTCTATATTTAAATATCCTGTCTCTCCGATTTTGATCATCTGGCGGCCAACGTGAATCCGTTTGTCCAGACATTTTCTCTTTTCCCTGTGTATTTAATTCTGAGTTATGAGCAACGGGTTTCATCGCATCTTTAACTTTCTTTTCCTTTTTTTCTTGCTGGTTTCGTTCGGGCCCTTGATGCTTGGAAGAAATATCCCGGGTCAATTTCGAAGTAACTTCTCTCTTAGTCGACTGGAGCTTTACAGGAATAGCTTTCCTCTGTGTCTCTCGATAGGCAATTTGCCTTAAATCTGGCTCACTTGTACTTTTAAGTGAATTCTGGTGTTTTCCATATTCATTTAAGCGAGGTATCGTTTCGTCGCTCTTAATATGTGAGGGGGGATACAGTTCATCAGTACAGCGAGGACCCTCCCTATGAATTTCACTTGTTTCCTGATTGAACAGAACGTTAGACTGTATGCTTTCCTTTGAAGATTTCATGAATTCATTCTCAGCGTCACAAAGCGCTGGTGACACACGTTGGTCAAAGTCGGTACCTCGTGAAGAGTTGGGGTACGTTTTGTCCTCATCTACTTTTCTTTGGCCACCCTCAGTTTCTTTCTCCTTTCCTTTAGATGTTCCCGGTGATGCAAACAGAGCAAACACAGAGTCACGGCTATTTGCCCTGTTTCTGTTTTTCTGGGAGTATGATTTACTTGAACCGTCGAAACCACTTGCACCACTCTTAGTGATTCCTCTGTGCAAAGGTTGCGTACATTCGTGAAGATTTTCTAAAGACCCTGATTTTGATTTTGAAGGCCGCCAATGCGAATCTTCATCGCGAAAGACTCGTAAAGAAGGTCCCCCAGAAATCCCGGTCACCACACATGCCATGAGCCCAGGATCACTACCTTTTTCTTCGATACCGCGTTGCTTTAAAAGTTCTTTATCGCTATACCTATGCTTTTTAGCGCGCTCGCCTCGGCCACGCTTTGAATACAATTTTCGTTTAGTTCTTTTGTCATCCTGATTTCCAACAAGTGCAAAACACACGAACGTGCTATCAGCACTACTTGTGGACGAATATCCATCTTCGACGATATCTGCAGCATAGCCCACAGAAGGCAAATCGTCTAAACTGTCTGCAATCTTGCGTGACGTGTTTAGAGGTCTACGAGGGACGACCTCTTGCACACCCTGCGTGGTGACCTGACTCGTGTTTATATTCCACGGGGTGTTTTGTTCTGCATCAAAAACTTCATTATCTGTAAAATGCTCGAAACCTCCCTCTGATTCATTGTTGTATTGAAAACTACTTTCTGAGTCAGCATCGTTGGAAAACGACCTCACTGATGGACGATTTAATGTCTGTCTTTTGTTCGACACACTAGGTTGCTTTTGTAAACAAAACGTCATCCCATACTTTTCTTGAGAAATGTTACCACCCCCGTGACTCCAAAAGACAGAATCGTCTCCAAAACAATCATCATGAATTCTATCGGGGCTGTAAGGTTGCTTAGAGCTTCTGAGAGTTTGTGCCTCTTCCTCAGAATTGAGTGATGTCGAAGTGGGTACCGCAGTTCTGAGGTCGTTGTCATTTCCAATAGATGCCTCACTTTCACTGCTTAGAACATTTGCGTACTCTATAAAAAATTCGGAAACTCGTCGTTGAGAGCTCTGAGGTGGAACCCAGTTTTCTTCTGTATAAGCGTCGACACAAATAAAATCCTGATTTATTTCAGAGCATGAGCTGGAGGCCAAAGATGGCGATTGTTCTTTGGACGAATCGTCATTTGAAGCTGATGTCTCCGAAGAAGGGTACACATTAACAACGTTGACAAAACGGCGAAATTGAGGATCAAGGCGAGAAACATACGTTGGAGTGCGCGACATTGTGTATTTTCTGCTTGTAAAATCTCAAAGCAAAGATCACAAGCATGCTAAACACGCTGTTAAGCCTCCGGTTTTTCAAATATCTCCGTGGCGCGCGTCGGCGACAAACATGTGTAATCCTACCGATCGAGTCCGGGTTAAGGATTTACAAAGTATTTAATTCCTTGCACGCCAATCAATCAAGCCGCGTCAATAATCGACAGTTTTTACCGAGGCACGAACAGCACTCACTGTGCAAACACCTCTGGACGATTTAATTGGCAAAAGTGTTCATTATGCCAGCCGTGTACACATGATACTTAACATTCTTGAATAAATATAAGGTTGTGTTAAAACAAGCTGAACGGAATTTGCCGAAACTTCTCGAGGAAATTGCTCAAAAAGTCTACACGAAGCTTTATGACATCTTGATATATCGCAAGGCAAAAACAAGTCGTTCGTCATTTTTCGACTTCCATGCATTCTGTGCATTTAAACCTCGTTGTTATGAAAGGTGGTGGTCTTTTAGCATAAATGATGACTGTAGCTGTCAACCCGGCTACGTGTTCAACTAGAAATTTCAAGACGGGTGCAAGAGGTGTTAAATGACGTGAGGGGGCGAAAGTCAAATTTTTTCCCAACAATTAGTAGAACAAACAGCAACTGCGCACATAAAACTAATTTTAGCTCCACTTCAATGTCAACAAAATAAGCGACTATTAAGTCCAAAGTATTTTTTCTTTTCACTTTCGGTGTTAAATGGCCTATTTTGGTTTAAGACACTACAGTAAAGTTAGAAAAGCACATGTGCGCTCATGAAACCTATAAAGCGACATATTCGAAAGTAAACAAGACTAGTAGATAAATTACCCTCTGTAGCAGGAGTATTTTTTGAAACCCAAAAAGCGAAAAACACTCAAGAAAACAAATTGCTCGGATTAACCTTAACATATGCAAGGTAATGGAGAAAACAATTAAAGAGATTTATTTCTTTCTACACTTTAAACACTTTACGTTCATTTGAAAACTATTGGTTGTCCTAGTAATGTTTGAGTCAATATCTACTACACATCAGCTTTCTACAGCCAATTTAATCAAAATTCTTATTATATTCGTTCTTCAAAACACGGAGACGTCTTACATGTAAGCCCTTGTATTTCACGACTTAACTCCCTAAGTCGGACAATCAAATAATCGACTTACAATACGCGACCAAAGCGTGATGCATGAATAATTCTTCACAAAAGGGTCGGATTTTCTAGTATTGAACATTTCAGCAGCACATGAAAAGTTTCTTACTTTTTTCTGTCGGTGAAGAATTTGCTATTTGGAAGCGCATAATTACAGCTCCTTAAGCAAACAATACAAACAAATCAAAGAAAGTGTAATGAAAATGTGAAGCAGTTTTACCCTTTAGTCTCGGCCTTAGCAAGTAATAATAACATCCTGAAAGACCCACATCGTATTGACATAACGAGATGTACACAAAACAGTAGGACACAATGTCTATACAGTTCATGTTTACGTCGTTCGAGCACAGCACGTAGGGCAAATTTCAAAAACGTATCGACGCAACTTTGTCAAGAACGAAAAAATATTACGCGAAAAATAGAGGCAGACATTGATAGAAATGCTATAACCCATGTTTTTTTTTTTAAATCACATGATAATTCGTTGAATTTGCCAACGTTTCCTCCTCGACATAATGCATTCGTTGGACTATAAACAGTGATAAAATAGCCGAGAGCGATTCTTCAAAAAGAACAATTATGGAGGGAGCAATTATATATATTGCTCGTGTGAAGTCTTGCTTTACCTCAATTTAATAAAACCACATCAATTAAGCTACACATTGCTTTTATGTCATGCTAAGCAACGTCTTTAACGTCATCACAGAGCTATGGTGAATCATCAACCTCATCCCCTGGGCTTTGCCCTTAAAAAGGCACTGGGAACGAGGATGGTGTATAATCTTCCATGAATTGCCGCAAAAAGGAACAAAAAATTTTTCGAGAAATAAAAGCCTTGATAAAATCCTTTTCACAACACACAGCGCAACAAGATAGCAGCACTGAGTCGTCTGTCTCGGACTCATACACGTTTCTGGCCTGCGTTGCATGCGCTTGAAACTAATATGCGAGAAATAACGGGGCGCGTGTCTCCCTCGCGAGTCTCTTTCTTTCTTGCGCCCATTTGTTACAAGCTGGTTAACATGTTTCATTTTTCGGCATGCGAATCCGCAAAGTTGCGTTGAGCCCTCTCAAGCAGACATCTATTTTGAGTAATGATATAATAATTGCATGGTTGAATAGTTGATAAGCTGGGAAAGTTTAAGTGCTGGTTTCTGCCCAAATTTATGACAAAAACGATACACAAACATGCGCAATACAAGTATCGAAAAGTCGCTGCAACTTTTGCAACTTAATACGATTTTTTTTATGACCCACAATACACATTGAGACCTAGCACGCGTCGTAGAAGTAACCCTGCATTGGTAACCAGTAGTTTTGTTGGACTTGTTCCCTCTGTGGGCTGGCGAAGGCTATTTGAGACCACGTTGTACCACTAAAATTGCAATCTTAACATCAAACGTGATGCAAGTTACACCACCCATCATGGTCTCACCATGTAATTCTGAGTGCTTGCAATACCAAATACGGCGAGTTTTACCATGCAATAATGTTTTGTGACAGGCTGATGTCCAAGTCACGGCCTGATAACCTACCTCGCTCTCTCCTTCTTTTCCATGGCCGTTTGAGCTTGTAGTTGGTTCACATAACTTTTAGTGTCTTCTAAGGAACTTACAGAATTGCTTAACATCTCTTCAAGATGAGCAGTTTTCTTAAGGGAAAAAGGCAAACACAAGACAGTGTTAAAGGGTATGTTTGCATGGCAATATAAAATTCGTGAAACAAGCATCTTGTAAGCGACTTGGGAGGGAAGGAGAATGAAGGTCAATGAAAAGTCGATAAACCGGCGTAAACGTCTCACAATTAAACACCTGCTGCAACCACTCTGTTTTACCGGGTTATAAACCGTATCTATCTTACTATCTTTCCGCAATATAAATGCATCTCCACTTAGTCTGTCACATAGCCGGTACTGTATAACTACACTGACTTGTTGGTGACTCTCAACATCCATCTTGAGAATTGTTAGAATTGGCTATTAACATGCGAAAAAAACGCTACATCGTAGATCTCGGCTGCCACAATCATCGCAACTTTTCGTCTGCGAAGTAAACTTTAAAAAACACTCAAAAAGGTCATAAATGATCTCGGAATTATTTTGGCTCTCATCATAGCCTTGCTACAAACCTGATAGAGTTTTTCGTTCTCAGTTTTTATGTCTTGTTCCATATTAGATTTCTTCTGAATTTCTTCCTCCAGCTAAAAAACAGAAAAAAAACAGGGTATGCCTAAAAACTTAATTCGCTTAGGAAAAGGTAATACGGAAAAGGGAGCACCCTATTTCTTATTTGCCGAATCGTGCTGCGTTTGCCACTAGTCTCCTAAGCGGTAGGCCGCTTGGATGTGAACTAGCCAGGACCAAGTATAATTGTATATTTAAAGTAACTGGAAATGTTGCAAGCGGACAGGGACGATATTCATGCTTTTTTGTTTTGTTTTAGAAACAATTAGTCTAAATGACCGTATTGGCTTATATTTAGTTAGCACTGACTGCATACTGATCGTTTTGAGTTCTGATTGGCTGAGGTTTAAACGCCGCTTGGCGCGAAAAATGCAAGATACATACGTATATCGCTGCCATAGAAGCAGGAAAGACTTTCACCTCATGTAAATATCGTTATTTCTATTTATTATAGCAGCTCTAGAAGAGAAAATAAAGTACGTGTAGAATTAAGGTAGACATTGCAATGTAAATGTGAACTATAAATGACTGACCGATTTTTGTTTCTGCAAGAGAAGTTGCATCTCTAGTTCCTTGCTTTCCAGTTCTCTAACTAACTCATCCTTGAGAGCCTTCTCGCGCTTTACTTGCTAAAAACACAAAAAATACCACTGCAGTCATTCTGAACGCACTTTTTACATGTTCACACCTTTTTTCCATAAGACTAGGAGGGACGACTCGCCCTGTCCCAAATTAAAATTTCCGTATTACTAGGCACCTTGTCAACTTAAACAAACCCAGATTCTACGAATCGTCGCGTTTTTACTCAATTCAGTGCGGCGAATTAACCGTCACGGTTACATAGCCGCTACCATCTAAACGAAGGACATATGGAAACCTAGGCTGTTTGTTAGGCAAGAGAGAGAAAAAAAGCTGCAAAAACGCGCGCGAAGCCACTACAAGAGTAACGCAGACAGTGGCAGATCCAGAGGGAGGGTGCGGGGGCTCCACACCCCCCTATCAGAACTGACGCTTGTTTGAAACTCAAATTGTTACATCGACAGGATCGTGTATCGCTTTTTAACTGGTTGATTTTTTTAATGTAACGCGGTAAGGGGCCAAGGAATTATAACGTGCAACCGCGACTGGTGGGAGGGGGTGTGGGCGTTATGGGTGGGGGAGTTATTTACCACAAAAGAGTTCAACAGTCCTTTCTGAACCAAACTTTGGACCCCCCCCCCACCCATCAAAAATTCCTGGATCCGCCCCAGATATCACGAAAAACTTCGTGCGCGTTTTGCCAGCGTTTTTTCCCTCTTGCCAAACAAACCACCAGCTTTACCTCAAATTGTTCAAGCTTCAGGTTCAAGTGGTACACCACAGACAGACCGTTTCAAACCTTTGAACCGCCAACCCCGCCTGCGTCCTCCAGCTGTTAATCTGACCTCCACTTCACCCCCAGTAACAATGGCGAGACAAATGCTAATCACGAAGAACCAATAGAAATCTCCAATGTGCTTTCAACCCATGCTCAGCAACCGGACACTACCAAAGCTACTGGCTAACACGTATTGCTTCTATCACAAGATGAAGTCTCATAGCATGAACGATTGCGAACAGTTTCAGAAATTAGGATACGAAGAACGCAGAGATTTCCTAATGAAAAACAAAGTCTGTCTCAAGTGTGTTAATTCCAACAAACATGTTGCCAGAGACTGCGAACAAGACAGGCTAGATTGCAAGATATGCCGACAGAAACATGCCACTGTACTGCATGACCCATCCAGGCACAAAGTGATTAATGCCAGTGAAGCGAGGTCTGCTTGCTCACGAGTCTGCAATCAAGGGCATTCTGCTCGTTCATGCGCTAGAATAGTTCTCGTCGAAGTCTTCCATCAAGACAACCCTTCAGCAAGGATGCTGACCTATGCAGTTCTGGATGACCAGTCAACAGATGTCTTCATCACAGACACTCTTCTCGACCAGTTGCAGGTCAAAGGCCAGAAGTTAACCTCAATATCAGTACGATTGCGGGCGTGAACACTGTGCGTACTCAGAAAGTAAACGGATTGCACATCAAGGACACAGACAGTCGACACAATTCTATTAGATTCCGTTTGCATACTCACAAGAGAAAATTCCAGCTAGCCATCAGGACATCGCCACGCCCAACATTGCCCAACTCTGGCCGCACCTTAAGGAGATCGCCCACCACATCCACTATCATCCCGGAGTAGAGATAGGATTGTTAATCGGTCGTAACATCCCATCTGCCTTTCAGCCATTACACGTTATATACGGCAAAGACAATGAGCCGTGGGCTGAAGAGTACAAGTTCGGCTGGACGATCATCGGTCCAGTTTGTCTAGACAACCAACAAGACAGTACGGCTTGTGCAACAGTTAACCGCATCACCGTACGACGAGAAGATTCTCACAACCTCTTCAATGTTCCAACGAGCAACAGTTCCAGAGAAGAGGCCGTAGCCTCTTTTCGCTTCCAAACATCAATCTAAGGATGTCACTACGCCCCAGCAGATAAGAGAAATGATGCAATGGATTACAGTGAACTACATCATAGCCGAACCATCCGAGGCACTGAGAACACCGAGTCTGTCGAGGGACAGACGTTTCAATGATCTTCTTACCACAAGCATCCATACAAATGAACTGGGCAATTGGGAAATGCCGCTACCACTGAGGACAGACAAGTTGAGTCTGCCGAACAACCGAGAACAATGCCTAAACAGGCTACTAGGCATAAAAAGAAAACTTCTCAAGAATGGCAAGGTTTTGAAGCAATATACTGAGTTCATGCAGAAAATGTTTAACAAGAACCACGCCAGTCTCGTCCCATCAGATCAACTCAAGACTGCCACAGGAAAGGTGTGGTACTTGCCTCATTTTGACATTTATCACCCCAAGAAACCTGACCAAATTAGAATCGTTTTCGACTGCAGTGCCATCTTCCACAACGAGTCTCTCAACAAACATCTGCTACAGGGCCCTGACATGATGAATGCCCCTCGTTGGTGTGCTCTCGCGGTTTCGAAAGGAAGAGACAGCAGTGACATGCGACATTGAACAGATGTTTCATAGTTTTCACGTCAGCCCGGAACACAGAGACTTTCTACGATTTCTGTGGTTCAAGGATAACAACTTAGAGAGTCAAATCGTAGAGTACAGCATGAACGTCCACCTTTTTCCGGGGCAGTCTCCTCCCAGGAGTTGCTAATTTCGGTCTCAGAATGACAGCAGAAGCCGGCAGAGAACAGTTTGGCAATGAGGCCGCAGACTTCTTTGAAGAACGACTTCTACGTAGATGACGGGTTGAAATCTTTCGCCACACCAGCTAAAGCAATCAATGTCATCAAGAATACCCAAGCCATGTGCGCAGCAGTCAACCCTTGAGCCAGCGTTTTTTTTCTCTACAAACTGGACCCCTTCTTAGACAGCAAGGGAATCCTCAGAATTGGCGGACGACTCCTAAAAGCCGAATTAGATTATGGCCCTCTTGCCAAACAAACCACCAGCTACGCAGGCTCAGCCCCAAAGCTGTTTGAGATTTTTGATCATTAAATGCGTGTTCCATGTTGGATTATTACAATTCAGGTTGAAGAAATCCATAATCAATTAACTTACCTCGTTATGTATTCTCTCTTTCTCCGCTCTTATTTGCTGTTCCATCTCCTCATATAACCTTTGCACTTCTTTATCGTGAGAATATGTTTTGCTGAAATAAATTAAAACAAAACTTAATCGATATTACTACCTTATTTGGTCAGGCTGTTCGCATTTCTCCCTCACCGTGTCTGTTTTAAAACACTAAGTGACTTCATAATTATTAGGGTCTGGAAACAAGGATCCTTATCCCGCATGACAGCTCCTTTTTGACAAGAATCCCGAATACGGAACTTCTTCCATCGCTATCCCGAATCGGTTTTTTTTTTGCCAATCCTGTATCCGCGCCCAAGTTTTGGCGAATCCCGCTTCCCGGGTAGCAGTCAAATCCCGTATGCCCGTAACATTTCCCGAATCCCGCCTGTCGTTTGCTCAAATCTCGGATCCCGCAAATACCCTTTCAGTTCCTCAATTATCAGTACTTCTGCTGTTTTGAATCACATATCATCAGTTAGCCAAACAGAGCCAGATAAGACAGTGCATTTACTTTTTAGTATATTTACGTAAACAAGAGTACCTAATGTAAACCAGATATCATTAGCACTTCTTGAGTGTTTGGATTCTTTATTAAGGCATCTTTAAACCTAGTGATAGCCTCCCTAGCTGGCGCTTGGAAGTACTGTTATATGGGCGCAAGAAAGAACGGGGCGCGCGCGAGGGGGACAGTCGTTTCTCCTTCGCGCGCCCCGTTCTCTCTCACCCATAACTTCTAAGCACTTGCTAGGCAGGGTAACACAGTAAAGGAGGTAATGCGAGTGCCGAATAAACCACTAACACCATTAATTGCAGACTGTGTCTAGTCTAAAACCTGACAACTGATTAGGTCTCAAGGACTGCTTATTGCGAATTATAAAATCATGGCCAGTGTGGCTAGTCTAATGTGACAGCCGTCTCCTCACCACCTATGATGGGAGGCCAGGTCTCTCTAGCCAGTGGCTGCTCATTGGGAGATGGGGTGGGGGGAATGAAGAGACAGGTGACACTTCAGACTTCAGGTGTGGCATGCACTCTCAAGGGTGGGGTGGGGGAAAAGGGAAAACTTGGGTGTGCAAGGACCATGTTCTTCCTTCCCACTATTGCTGCGAGTTCCCATCCTCCGGACTAATAGGATCACACTGTTCTGGCTACAATGTATACATTAGTTATATCGCAGCAAAGTTAAAATATGTCATTAATATGAACTAAAACGTTTTTTCTTCTGTAGAAATGTGTTCCACATTGGCAATCAATCCTCTAAAATGAGCACTTTATGTTCCTCAAGAGATTTCTATCACATACCTTTCCCCTACAAATTTTTGCAGATTACTGCACTTGATAACTTGAGTGGCTGATTTAACTGACGGAAATATCAGACAACAAAAATGTGGCTGGAAACAAACATTTTTATTAAAATGTCCAGCTTTTGAATGGACACCCCAAATTTTCCTCCCATGTACATGCAAACACTTCTTTACCAAGCAACCAAATTAAAATCAAAACATAGCACTGCTGTGGGGCTATTCTCCATGAGAAAAGACAGGAATGACAGTTAAGTTGAGTTCTGTTTTTCCGACAAATTATGCTTCACTATCACATGTGATATGAGGTAGGTATTAACTGCATGGGAATTTGCTTATGATATTGGAGAAACAAAATTGAGGGAGCGACAGTAACACTAATGATGACAAGTATTGATAGTAAGGTGGGGATGGTCAGTCGCAGGGGGGGGGGACGGGGATCCTTAAATACAGTTATAAAGTGTGTTTTTTTTTTCAATCCTGCTGGGTTAAGCATCCCCCTCAAAATTCTATGAATGAAATGATTATTTGAAAGTTCAATCAATTAGTTCTGTAGTTGTAGATTTCAGATTCAACTTCGCATTCCTGCATGCTTTATGAGCAGTGAATTTAAATGTGAGGTGGTTATGAAAATTCTGCCAAATCAGTTTTTTTGAATTTGCTTGAATGTCTGCAAGGCATTTTCACCCATTCAGACATTTTATTTTTCAATCTGACCAAAAAGAAGTCAAAAGTTCACTCCTCATTGTATGTATACAGGAATGCAGCAGATTTAAAGTTGACACTAGATATGGGAAGGAGTAAAACAGTCACTGATTCATTTTTCAAATAATCAATTCAATTACTACAATCTATGGGGAAAGGGTTATGCTTGAACTGGGTATCCTTGCCCTGGTTTGACTGTAAAAGAAACTAAATATATTACAGTACCAGTTTTGTTTGTTGTTTGCAAAATTTCTTGACTCTGAGAATTTTATTTTTCAATCAGGACATTTTATATTTCTATCTGACCGAACAGAATTCAAACATTCATTCCTTATATTACGCATACAGGAATGTTGCAGATTTGAATTTGACACTAGATATGGCAAGGACTGGGTGTACCAAAACCTATGTCCGATTGTCCAGGACAGGTAGAAATTTAGTTCAAACATGTAAACCTTTGGCATGACTTGTCTGTGGAACAAGCTCATTTTTAATAAGAAAAAATACAGGAACAGTTGAAAATTGACTTCAAATTAAAGTAGAATTTAAATTTATGCTATTAGCCATAAAAGCAAGGTTTAAGTCAAGAACAATTTACAAGGCTAATAATGCGATTAAATGCCCCATTTGTTTTTGACTTTCAAGTTTTGAGCACGACTTTTTGGACAGTCAAGTACTCTTAGGTTTCGGGCAACAAAATTTAATATACTGCTTGTCCAAACGACAAGTGGATAAGAAAATGTTTCTCTTTAGATTCACTTTTCAAATAATCAGTTCATTACTACAAACTATGGGGACAGGGTTATGCTTGATCTGGGTATGCTTGACCTGGTTTGACTGTGAAAAAAAAATGTCACAGTACCAGTGTTGTTTACAAAATTTCTTAACTCAGAGCAAAACAAGTGATTGAATTCTAATCCTAACTGTGCAAATCTGTTTGGTCACTAGCAGATGTTAGCAATGCACTAGCAAATGTTTTTTACACATCTTTGACAGAACAAAGAAAAAGCACTGTTAATTTTGGAGGCTTAATGCACATTTACACTGTTTGTTTTAGGACACAGGAATTTTGCAGGAGTCAAAGTGATTTTATGGAAACCAAATGCAATTTATTTCCAGGATTTTTATGGCAATATATGCAGGGTAATGAAGATCATTACAGAGAACCCAGGTTTACAAGTAAAGAAGTTTATGATTAAATACCCTATTATCACAAGAAAAGAACAATAATACACTCTAGACGAAACAATGATATTACTAAATTTTCCTGTAAACCATGTACTCAAATAATTGCTTCGAGATGAGACGAGAAAACACTGACAAGGCCGTTTAATGATGAACATATTCTATTTTATTTCAAGTAATTAGCATACCTTTTCAGAGCAGATTCCAGTTGTTCAGAATCCATTTTCGCTCGTCTTAACTCTCCGGAAACTTTCGTCAGAAACTCCTCGAATTTTTGCAATCCGTGAACATCGTTTTTCCTAAGGGCCTCCCACAACTCACGCAGCTGGTCTTTAGACAAAGATCTAGACAAGGGAATGACCGGTAATGTTTTTAATTTTCTGAAATGCGATCGATCTTTAAAGGAAATTATAAGCGATTAAATTTACATACGGTCATAGGAGATAGAGATCTTGATGATTAGATTTTAAATATCATGTCAAATTATTACTCTGTGGGAATAAAAAATGAAATCAGGATGATATGATTTAGTCTTAACAGGTGCAGCAAATTACTTATTAATACTTAGGTGTCTAATGTTTTTTTGCAATTTTTACACCGACAGTAAGAAATGCACTAATCAAACAAGAAAATATTATATGGCTACCGCTCGAAAGTATGAAGAGTAAAATTGCACGAAAATTCTCATTTGAAACAAAAATTGCTTTATTTTTTTCCCATGTAGTGTTAAAACACGAGGATCAAAGACAGTGCCCTCTTTTCGGACGAAATTACATCTAGTTTGTTTGATGTGATGTGAGGCTGAGTCAACAATAAATGTTTACAATGCCGACTTGAATAATTATAACAAAGATTTTTTCCGCTTTTTGTTAACGATGATTTTTTAAGTATCCTTAATGCCTTTAAGCGTAATAAAAGCAACAGATGATAACATTATGTAACACGATATCACACTTACGATCAACTATTCGAAATACAATCAAAATATCGTCGAATTTTTTGCGGGAAAATACAGATGTAAACAAACATTTCATTTCATCACCCGGGGGGATTTGGTAGAACATGATAACCCCACTTAACATAGTCGCCCGTGATTATTCTTGAGGAAAACAATTTCCCAATTTCTACTCTCAAGCTCCTCTTAAAACAAATTTCAGAGTGCGAGTAATCACAATAATAATAGCTTTAGTTGTTATTCTAAGCTCTTCGAGGCGCCAAATTTGATATGCGCAAGTTCAAACAAAACACCGTATTAAATCAAAGTTGAAGCAATGTGACTAATAAAAAAGGGCAATCTATCGTATTAACAAATTATAGCGACTTTACCCCGTGAATATATCTTCTCCGACGCTTTCCACTATTTCACGAAAGAGTGCTTCTTCTGAAGGATGCGTCGGCGATGCGAGACCAGTCTCTAAACTTTCGAAAATATCGTGTCCCGTTTGTAATGTGCTCTTCGTAAAATTTTCTTCGCTGAAATCGAGGTTTTGTTTCGCAGAATCGAGTCCCGTAGAACCGTTGCCATCTCCACTCAGAAACGTCCCAAATCCTTCGACAAATTCGTCCATGGTTAGTCGTCCATTTTTATCAATATCAAGCTTATCGAAAATAAAATCAAGCTGTTCGAAATTCAAGTTTAGATCCTCGGCGACCCGTTCCAAGTCGACTTTCGTGATGTAGCCCTTCCCTTCTGGGTCACACAAGTAAAACAATTCCCGACCGGGGTCGCTGATTGACGAGATTTCCTCAAGTTCGGTATTACCTTCATCGTCTGAGCGAATACCCAGAAATAACCCAAAGCCTGCAGTGAACTCCTCTAAAGTCAAGTAGCCGTTCTGATCTTCATCAAGTTCATTGAAAGTCTGCTTAACTTGTGTAGCATCTAGAGGAAGGCCTAATTCCGCGATAACGCTTTGTAGTTCATTCTTCGTGATATAGCCCTTTCCGTCTTGGTCGCACAGGTTATACAGCTCTACCGCTCGCTCTTTCAACACGTTTTTCAGCTGATTAGGGTCTTCTGCCATTGTTATAACCACGTAGATAACATGCAAGCCATACAAGTGAGCAGTACTAGTCAAGAGTTAATTGCTAAAAAATCTACAACAACTCTCGCCTCAATATCGACCATCCATTTTGTCTCAGCGCAATACTCATCGACGAAAATAAATGAACCTGTCTGATTTAGAAGCTCTTTTAAACTGAATAATTATGCAGCGTTGCTACATTTTCCTTGGCTTGTTGACTTTCGACTCGTCAAGTCATGCATGCATGCCCCAACAGTCAGCTACCTGGATACGTGCGAAAATACTACTCTCTGGGGAGGGACATGTCAATTTGAAGCTGGGGAATCTTCCCGTAACCGGACGTACGTGGAAGAAAGAGCTTGAGAGGAATAGATGACCGAGTCAGGAATTTCAGTAATGATAATGCTTTCCGCAAAGGGCAATATAATATCGCGATTAATTACATTTTCTTTTGATGAAAGATCATAGAATTATATTTATTCATTTCTGGCTATGTCACTGTGGAAGCGCGACACTCGAAACGATGCCTTTCTTTCGCATTCGGTTTCACAGTAACTTTAAGTTTAACTTAAAGTCAGTTTGAAGAAAAAAGTCAGATAAGCCCAATTTAACGGCTTCCTCTTTAATTGTTTTTTCTTTTGACGTACATCCACGTCGTACATTCAGCCAATATATATCGCAAAAAAAAATTATCAAATTGCCACACTCCAGATATTGGCCCATCGCGTTGGATACGTTGTGTAACAGGGCAAATTTATAACCTTGACCAACATTTTTGTTTGTCATTTAAATTAAGGAAATAGAGACGCAAATTAAATCTGTCGAAATCTTTTATTCAAGTCTTCAGGGAAATACACCCTGTATTTAGTTCGGCAAAGATGTGAACAAAACTGGTGCAGTTTCGAATCAGGAAATCTGAAAGCCTGACTTTTAGTTTCCGCACACAGTTTCGTACTAGAGCGTTAGCAAGAAGCAATTTCACGTTAGCATTGACGTTGCTACGAAGTCTAAGGAAGCAATGCTCAGTTTTAACAAGAGATCAAGCCCTTGAAAGTAGCGGAAAGACTTTAACTGTTCGTGACTTACATGCCGGGTTCCTGCGGTCCGACTAATGGCAGGACAGCTAATCGCCGTTAAACTGGAGGAGGGTTCACGGACATTATGTAATCATCGGGAAAAACACAAGCATATGCTCCGAGAGAAACCAAGCGTATCACAACTGATAGTTTCCTCTAATCCGGCGCTCTTTTATGTAACTGAACGCGCTTGCTCAGATCTTTGCCTGTCTTTCGATTCATCGAGGTACGAAAAGGAAAGAACATTTGAAGTCTTTTAACCGGATGGACAGGAAATACATTAACAACATTAACAGTTTCGTTGCTAAACGTTCTGCGGTGAGAAAGTGTGGCAATGCGTACTATGCCATGCAAAAAGAGAAATTCAGATTCGCCTTCACTGCAAACGACAAACGTCAGATTTAAACTGACCATTTCACGAATAAGGAATAAGCCGATAATTAAAAATTATGCCATACAAATGCTTTGAATGAATCTGGCCGTGAAACTTCTTATTTTGAATTTTCAATTAAATGTAACAGATGACGAGGAAAGGGAAAACTTGGTCACGTGGTAGAAATTGCTGTTTGCCGTCTTGCTAACTAAGGCTCTCTCCACAATAATGCATTTTCGTTTGAAGACGTATACATTTCGATACGTTTAGGCCTTCCGACCATGCACCCTAATATGCTGAGCGTTTTGATCAAAAACGCAACGATTTAAAAACGCTCTTGAAAGTGGATCAAAACGAAAACGCATACATATCAAGTTAGTGCGGACAGTTGAAAACGAATCAAAATGAACGATGACAGAAAATCTCTTGTAGCATGGGCATAGAGTCCAAATCAACTTACGTCACGCGTGCAATTCTTATCATTTTCGAATGTTTTAGTTTAGACTCTCGAAAATGCATCAAAACGGCAGTGTGGATACAAATCGATCGATGCGTTTTCGATGACATCAAAAACACATACTTTTGAAAACGCATTAGTGCGGACAAGGCTTAAGACTTCCTAGGTATAATTAGTAATAGACCATTTCAAAACAATCATGAACAATACCATAATGTTCCAATTTTTTAGATGGTAAGCCTGACCCTTTGGGTGTATGGCCTTCGCAAACTCAATACTTCTTTTTTCCCCTAAGACGGTAAAGAAAAATCACTAAGATGTAATATATTGAAGCACCCTTAATAGGGTGGACACCCTTAGGAGGCAGTTAAGTGTCCGGACGTCTTAATTATAATCGTTATTGATACATAAGTACACAAAACACAAGTTAACGATAATAAGATGCCAAAGCCAGAGGCTTATAGCGTAGATCGGAGAGTTAGAATGTGCTGCTAAGTTACAATGAGAATAAAAATTAATAATTACAATATTAAAAGAGAAAAGGCAAACTATTACAACATATAAGAACTATTATTGTATATAAAGCAAAACAAACATAACAATTAATGATAGTGTGCAAAAAGTAATAAAGAAAAGAGTTTGAAGGTAGAAAAAATTTGAGTTCAACTTAGTTTAAAATATAATGATTGAAGATAATCTCTTAGTGTATGTTTATACTAGAAGGAGTAAGTGAATTACGAAGTGAGAGAGGAATGTCATTCCAAATTTGGGGACCCTGTACCCGAAGAGAAAAAGAATATTTGTGAGACGTATGAAAATGTAAGTTGTCTTTTCGCCTGGACCGAGTTGTTCAAAGCTGGGTCAAGATAACCCAGAGTTCGTGCGAGATTTGAATTCGGATTTGAAAGCTTAAAAAACATTTCAGTTTTAATTTTTTTTGTCTACAAGTTGATGATTGGAAGCTCTAAAAATAACAGAGAAAATTACCCGAGAAAATGCTTTTGGACGCCAGAAAAAGAAACCCGTGTTAAACTTAACCCCGGGTTAAGAGCTAATCGACCTTCGAACAACTGGGCTCAGGTGAGATATTGATGACAATCAGAGTTGAGAACGAAAAGAGACGAAAGAGGAGAGGGCAAGAGCTGCCGCATATGAAGGAAAAAAACAAGAAACTTGGTACTTATAAATATTAGATATGCTGAGTATTTTGAATTTGTTAAAGAGCGAGTAAGTATATATGTGCACGTGGTGTAGAATGAGTAATGATTCTTAAGACGGAAAAGGGGTTGTAAATGAGAAGAGTATGTGAATACCCAAATAATAGAACAATATTGAAGTTATGGGAGTATTAAAGAGTTGTATAATGTGCAAAGAGTATTAGAAAGGAAAAGCTGTCGTGATCATGATTTGATAATAATCCCAGTGGATTTGGCAATTTTGGAAGAAATGGCTTTTATATGAGCCTGCCATGATAGGTTTTGATGGATGATAACACCTAAGAATTTTGTGTGTTCTACTCTTATCAATTTTAATAGAAAGACCATCAAGACTTATTTTCTTTCTTGCAGGGTGAAACAAGAAAGAAACAGAGCTGGCCGCTAACAGAAAGATAGTTTAAACGGCTCAGGCATGTTAAGGCATGGGTCTCCTTATAATTTGCATAATTTGGCGAAGTAACATTTGAAACGGATTCTTTTGATCAGTGGTCATGAAATTAGCAATATGTGACATATTCATTGTTGAAATATTAGTCACGTGACCTGCAAATGATCGGTAATGATCAAAGTTTTCAAATTAAAATGGGGAAAAGGAAATGAAAGAGAAGCAAATACTCTTAGGCACCCATGTTTTTCCCATTGCCTGGACATTATGAAACAGCCCTGCATGTATGCCTAAGTGGAGCAAGGATTACGAAATAAGGAAAAACAGGTCATGTGACTTATAAAATACTTTAATAACTCTTAATAAAAATGCTTTAACCCACCTTGCAAGGCTATTTGACAATCCAGACAGTTTCGCTGACAATTTGATGACAAGTATTTTTAGGCTGAAGTTTAACAACCTTGCCCCTTTTGAGAAAACAGGTTTTGTGACGTCGCGATCCAAGGAATGTCACGTGGTACTTGGAATGAATTTTCCAAAACTATTTTAGTGAGATATGTCTTATCATGTCATGGTGGAATCCTTTACTTGGATCCTTCTGTGTCATTATAGAGGATGTTTGCGTTCTCTGCGGGGGGTCTTTTTAGCCTTTCAGTCGACGCGGCTGTAAGTAGAGCTAGCAACTTTGCTCTTACAACAGTGTTCGTCAATTATTTTAATTTATTTTTTCGCAGACGGTTTTCAGGTCCAAAACGATAGGTCACGAAAGGTCACGAAAACCAACCGTGATATCAATATCACGATAAGTAACATCACCACTTATCACAACCTCGTTCCCAGGGTTCTCTCCTAACCTTCCCTGCTGGAAACGAGGTAGCACTTATCATTTTATTTTAAGAAAATGTGATTGGCTCTCCGCAGTGTGATTTATTCACAAATCGCACTGTCTTTTCACATAGACCATAATGTACCTTGTTTACCCCCAAAGAAATTTGCGTAGCTATTGTCTTCGATGTTTCTTGGGACGACTGTCATACCCACGAGAAACTGGAAACAATGGTTATACAAAGTTTTGGTTGTAAACAAGGTGCATTATGGTCAATGCGAAAATGGTGAATTTCTATTTCATTCCATATACGAAAAGAGATGCTTTGCGGTTCCGCTTTCTTACAAAGGGCGATGAAATTGTGAGATTTCTGGTCCGAAATCATATTATTTTCTGCTTTCATGGATGGTAAAAGGCTGGATTAAAACAGGAAACTGGCACACGTGATCGATTCTACTATTATGGAAAGATGTAGCCTGTCAGGAGGCTCTTATGGCGAGCGAGGCGAGACGCCATATAAAGAGCTTGCTCGTAGGCTAGGAAAAATGTGAAGATGCCGGAAAGGAATCCGCGTCTTTTAACGGTTTTCAAGACGACGACGACAACGACAACTTCAAAAACAATTGGTTTTATGAACAAAACAAACAGCTCATCATGTTTTTATGAACAAAACAACGTGCATCACGCTTTTTAGTACATTTCTTTGTTCTTTGACGTCCACATTCTCGACAAAGACGTGAAACTTCCCAATGCGAAGTTTTATGGAGGACGTGAACATACGAGGACGAATTTTTCTTTTGTATTTTGAATTCGAATAAATTCCTTAGGAATTCCAGACCAGGAAACGTCGCGTAGATTTGACAAACTGAGAGGGTCCAAATCACGAGACGCAATTAAGTTTGAAAAGACTGCAAATTAATTTTTTTAGCCGACTTTTTCACCGCGGTCGTCTTCGTCGTTGCTTAAGCTCCCTATTGTATATCCTTTTTTATTTACTGAAGCAGCTATGATTAAAAGAAGAAATTACTACTATTTACACCAATTTTACTGATAAATGACAGAAAAAAAAGACTCAGAAGGCGTGTAAGCTGGGCTGTGTTGGTACAGTATAGAGCTGGAGACTCAATTGTTTTGCGAAGAAGGAATAGCCGAACTTCTACCTAAAACCATAGCACTGAAAATAGACGGATGACAATTTCTGTTTGACTAAAAATCCCTTTATGCCCTTCTCAGGAACGGGTATAAAATGTTACGAAGACGGGAGCTCGAGGAAAGCGTGTTTTTACGTTGAAAACGATTTGAATGAATAATAAAACAGGGGCACCCAACGATGGTTTCTGCCTAAATACATGAAAACACTTTTTTAGGTTAGGGATATATCCAGAGTACTTTTAGGGGCTGTCACATGGAGGGAGGAAGATCCTTGTAGCAGGAAGATCCTAGAGGGCGAATCATCCTAGTGCCATATGTTTTCTGTATTCAGTTTACATGCAAAGGGTTGTACTTGTTCATAGCGCTAGGATCTTCCTAGCTAAGAGGTAGGAATATCCCAGCACCATGTAAACTGCTTTCGCTAGGAAGATCCTAGTACTAGGGACAAGCGACAAAAACGTCAGCGGGTCGTTCAGTGGCTAATTACGGCAATAAAGGCTAACCATTGCGTTTGGAGTAACCCACGAGCAGATTATTGTGTTAAATCAGCTGAAAGGTAGTCATTTACGCCAGTAAAGAGAGCAGAAGGACCCAAATTGCATTTTTAATTTTGTCGTCCGCCATTTTTAATTCCTTCTCTAACCTTCTCTACTTGGACAACCCAACGTAAAGTTATTCTACCTCCTAGGATCATCCTGGTACTAGGATCTTCCTCCCTCCATGTAAATACATTCTAAACGGCGCTATAAAATTTGTATCTGTTCGGTCATCCTAGGGGAACTTGAGTCTTTTTGAGATTACAAGGGTTCGAGTATTATTTTTCCGAAGATTTTAGATGAAATTTGACGTATTATGAAAGTGAGACATTTTCTGATTCTTAACACCACCACATTTTTTAATCCGAAAATATGTTCCCTTTTTTCTACGAAAAATAGCCTAAGTTGGGAAGAAAAATGTGAAAATTAAACTTAGGAAAATCGTAAGGAATTTAGAAAGACAAGCTTCGAAAATTGTACGTGAATGGAACGATCATCTAGAAATCTTTTGCCGTCCTCAAGTAAAAGAAACTGATTCCAGGCAATATGTGCTTCTCCGAACCGATATTTTACAGAAAACAGTCGTTGGGTGCCCCTGATAAAAACAATTATTAGGGAATATTAGTTGAAGCTTTTGTATCATATATAGAATTATGCAGAACTCGGAGGTTATCATCCGCCTCGGCCCCCCGGGGACTTGTACTTGGAAAATTGCCCTCAAATACAAAGTAAAACAAAGCAAAAGCGATAAATTTACTCCCAACTATAAGGCTAGCCCAATCGATTTTGAAACACAAATTTCCCTCCGTAGATAAGCCTCTCCAAAAATAAGCCCCTCAAAAAGGGCCTTTGAAAAATATAAGCCCAGGGGCCTATTTTCGGAATTTTACGATATTCGCGATGATCACCTGCGAGCTATGTAGAGGGGTGAAGTCAGCTTAATGGTTTTCGCAGACTATTCTAACGCCTTAGCTTTGACATAGTTTGTTTTAAGACAGTAGTAACCAAGATGCACGCTTAAGGCTTTTCAAACGAATTTCTTCTTTGGATGGTCTACTACCTCTCTGATCGCCGCCAGTTCGTTCAAATAGACGACAAGACTTGTACTGTTCGGTATCCCACAGGGATCGATACTCGGACCTTTTATTTTCAACCTATATGTTTCTGATCTTCATAAACACATTAAGTGTCCTTGTTACCAGTACGCGGACGATACAACTCTCGCCTTTCACTCAAAGACGAAGTAGTTAGCTAATGCTGACGTGGAATTAACTGACGTAATATCACGTTTGGGGGATTACTCATCTGAATAAAACTTCGCATTGAATGAAGCTAAAACAAAGTGGATGCTTATTTCCACCCGCCAGATGTCTCGAGCTCACGCTTCACACGATTATTATCCAGCTGTGAGCTGTAATGGGAAGCTACTAGAACGCGTCACCACAGCTAAGATACTGGGGGTCCACATGGACGAACATCTAACATGGGCTGACCACGTGACTGCGCTTCTTTCATCCTGTTATACAGTATTGGCGGTTCTCCGAAGACTGCGCAACCTCGCACCATACCATATTCGCAAGCATTTAGTGGAGTCATTAGTGATGTCAAAACTGGACTACGGGTGCGTCGTCTTCTCCCCCCTTCCAGAATACCAAATGAAATGCCCGCAAAGAGTTCAAACAACATGCGCGGGCCACGTACTTGGGCGGTATGCTGTTTTAGAGGACTTGTAGCCTGTGCCAGGCTCTCAGATAGTATAGTGCGGACGTATTAAAACGAGCAAAAGCGAAAATAAGACGCACGCGACTTGGGAAAGGGGGCGCTGTCTCTCCCCAGCCCCCGCGCGGTTTTCGCATTTCTTTTTACTGAACATGCTGAACGACTTTTTTCATCTCTCGGAGCCTGGAACAGGCTAGAGGACTTGCAGAAATTAAACTGGCGTCCAATTATAAAAAGGAGAGACCTAGCACTACTGAAAATCACTCAGAAAGCCCTCTACGATGATGTTTGGCCTGATTACTTACGCCTTAAATTCCATACTGTCAGTGCTTATAACTTAAGATCTCTTGAAGCACCAAAGTTAGCTGTTCCAAACTGAAAGCGGCACTTTTTAGGACTCAGCAGCGAGATTATTTAATAAGTTACCTGATAGGTAAAGGCAAGAGCCTGACTACAACAAGTTCGTAGATTAGCGAAGAAGCTCATGTTCTCCGAAGGAGAAAGCGTGTGACTGATTTTTATTATTATTATTCAACCACGCTGTTTTTTAATTGTACATATTTTTTATCAAACCTTTTGTACTTATCCTAAATTTATTGTATATATCATTTTTAACTAGCCGTTAGGGCAGGACTTGAATTGCGGATCTCCGAATTACGAGTCCAACGCTCAAACCACTCAGCCACGTTGCCTTCATCAAACCTAGGCCTACTTATAAGAACGTTCACACCTACAACTATAGTAGTGCTAAAAGTAAAAATTCACTAAAAAGTCAAAACTGAATAAGAGCAAGTGACACCCATGCACCAACCCACAGCCTGGCCAGACATGCCAGACAATAGGGAGCTTAAGAAACAACGTTTTTGAGCGACGCACGTCAACCGGAAGTGGCCTTTTTTGATTTTTTGACGGTGGTTTCGCGCAAATTTTCAGTCAAATCGCCTCTATAACAGTAAAGAAGCTAAGGAATACAAATTTTATATCATCAAGGCATGTTAAGAGGGAAAATACCTCACTTCCGGTTGACGTCCGTCGCTCAAAAACGCCTTTGCTTAAGCTCCCTACTATATCACCTGGGCAGTGGCAGCTATGAACCGCCGTTTACACCCTTATTATGTATAGGGCTCATCAGCATGGCATAGCCGTTGGGCCTATAATGAACAGACTGCACAGCCCTCCACTGCCGAGGCGAAACGTCTCCTTTAAGCGCCAGCTCCACACAACACATGTGCGAGGTGTTGGCTGGGAACTTTCTTTTTCGTAATGTATGATTGTATCTATCAAATAGGACTATTCATTATGTTTAACATGCATAGTGAAACTACAGGATTTTGTCCACAGAATTAAAAATTAGGGTGACAAATAATCTTGCCATAAATTGTTCTAAGAGGGAAAGGGGTTAAGAGGTTTTATGTGAATCTTTATTTACACCATAGGATTGTATAATTTGGTCTGTTAACTCACTCCACGGACCTGTTTCTCCAGAGTCTCAGTAACTTTTCAGGCCAAAAATCAAATATTCAAATCAAAATCTGAAGACTCAGAGTGCAGGTCTTGGCAAACAAACCAGTTCATTTTGTCTTATAAGCTGATAGTTTTATCATGTTACCTTCAAAAAAATTGAAACCTTTATCTTGTATGCAAACGACAAACTTTTCTGAGCCCATTATTTTCCAGGACATTCAAGTACGGGCCCCGGGAGTCAAAAAAGGTATAGATTTGCATTCTACAAACTGCTCTTAACGTTCCTCATCAGATTTTGCTTCAGGAATTGTAAAGTTTTGTCCCAGTAAATCACCTGGCCCATTGCATGAGGCTTGACTTGCCCACCCCACACAATGAACATTTTGGACTGATTGCTGTAGGTTGAATAGAATAAGGGTGAATGGGGTGGATCAATTATATGGCCAGCACCTGGCAATTGCAATACAGTGCATAGAGATTCCTTGCCGGCTGCTTTTAACTGGTCTAATATGTACCCTGAAGTTAATTTGGCATCCACGTTCAAATCCTCTGTGCCATAAATTAGCAAAACAGGACATGAAATATTTTCCACAGGAGTCATTGCCGGAAAGTCTGCCAATGGGTTGGTTGTTTCCTTCAATGTTGCAGAACAAAATCTGACCATCACTCCCTGATCTGTAACTTTCAAGGCCTCTTTTGAGTAGCTGTACACGTTTGACAGCTTCCCTTTGTACCTGTATGCGGTATTTCCAAAAGCACAACAAATTGGTGCTATTGCAACAACAGCCTTGACTAGATCAGTCCTATAACTTGCAAGAAGCAAAGCAAGCCACGATCCCAAGCAATGAGAATGAAGTGCTATACCACCTGGTATGACCTTAGAATGTTGGTACAACCATTCTGCTGCCTCTTCAATGTACTCCAACTCAACATATGGACTTAAGGATGAAGGCAGATCATCATAGCCAAAATAGGCCAGTGCTAAGGCGGCGAATCCACGAGAAGCTAACAAGGAGGCCTTGAATTCAACCAGTCCTCCTGTGCCACCAAGAAGATCCATTACTCCTACAGTGTAAAACAGAAGACTTTCATCAATACACAAAAGAAATAACCTTATTACATAGACACTGATGAAATACCAGGATTTTTTTAATGCTCCAAAAAGGTCCATTACACCTACAGTGTACAACAAAAAAGGACTTGCATCAATACACACAAAAAACAACCTTAGTACCTAGTTTATTATTTTTGAGGAAAGTATAACTGTAGAAATTCGACCAAGACTCAGACACTCTATTCGCTTCATGTATTCCTTTCAAAAATTCGTCAACCCTGTTTTGCTATCAAGCGAGTGAATTCCGTTGTCAACTTAATTGCCTGGCGGGCAAGTGAAGTTTTTTGTAGCCAGCAAGCAAGCTCTCCTGTTTGAGCGAGTGAAATGAGTCTCGTGAGAATGCGCGTGCGAGCGGCGAAGCCGCGAGGGGAGGGGAAAGGAGTCCTCAGCCCCTCGCTCACGCGTTCTTGGAAGGCTCGCTTCGCTTGCCCAAATAGGAGAGCTTGCTCGCAGGCTACATTTTTTGGGGAATTCAAATGACTGAAGAACTGCAGTCATGCAATTCTGCTCATCAAGACTCCTTTCAACTAAGTAAAATGACTTTGGGAATACATGCTAGCTACAGCTCGCCCAAGGGGCAAGCTTTAAAACTGACTTTCTTTGCACCCTATTACTGGCAGTGAACTGTGCTTGGGCCTCTGCACTTGAAAATTGTTTAAATAAAAGGCTCTGTAAGCCAGCTCATGCATGAATTGATTAAAAATCTGTTTATGATATTAAACGTTGGGCACGTTGGTAACATTCAAAAACGTTTTAAATAGGGTTAAAGAATTTGGAGTCTAATTATCATTGCACTTCTATACTTTATTACACTTTTTTAATTGGGTCATCTCCGATCTGGTGAAGAGGGTGTTTTCATAAGATGCAAAAATTAAAGGAAAAGATGTGTTTAACTACAGTGACAATGTGTTAGAAATGTTCTTTAGTAGAGGTTTCTCATATCTACAGTTGTGTAGATTCTAAAGTTTTTGTGGGTTTAAAGTGTACTCCTTCATTTTTAAAGGTTGACACAATTTTAAACCTTTGCCAATGGTTGACAATTTTTTCTGGAAATGACATTCTGTTTTCGGATTATCTCAACTGTACATGTCAATTCATTAGCAAGGTAGTGGTTATTCTGATGATTAGTTCGATCATTTGACAAACTGTATTTTCTGCTTCATTCAGGTAAGGGAGATTAGACATTGCCTTTTTTAAATTCAAGTGAAACAACTGAAAAGGACCGTTAAACAGATATTATGTAGATTTTCTACTAAATAAATTATATTTTTGATGAATTTTCATTTAAAACCCCAGTTATGATAGCGAAGAAAAGTGACGATTTTATAATATTCCTATAATTTTAGCAATCAGTGAATAACTAAAAAAAATTAGATGGTGCAATTGTACATACTTTTATTTCATTATGTTATTTTGTTTCTAAATAATTAAATAGCAGGGCCACATCAGCCTATGAATGCGTTAATCCTCAACCTGCTTTAACAAATAAAAGTACGCATGTATGCATCAATCGAACGGTAAACTAATCATACGTATGTATTTATGTATGTTTATAATAATTAAAAACCGAGTACTAGTATATGTGAAGCATGGATGCAAAGTGACAAAGTGACAAATTAAGGGTTCAAAAAATATCTTCCAGCATTTTAGTCATGTTATAGAATCTGATGGGCCATCTAAGCTTAAGGAAGAAAAATAAGTTTGGACTGTCATTATTTATACCTGCATGGAAGTCTCAAATATTCACTGTGAAAACAGGGGGAAAAAGAAGCCCTTTTCTGGGGAAGTGTTATCTCAGTAGTATTGAAGACAAGCACAAAAATGATGATCAATTTACCAGAAATTTTTGACAGAAATTGTCCTCTCAGAGGGTTATATAGAAATGGGGTTTTCCGAGCATGATCACTTTAAAATTTTATACAGGAGCAAGCCCTATACCCTATTGGCTTGCAAATTGCGGAATGATCGGCAAATCAAAGGAGTTTGACGATGTCGGCAGAGCTGTCGCTTCCTCTGTCCCGACTTATCTAGGAAAGATTAAAGCAACTCTGCTAACAGGGTACTACATTGGTGTGTTCTTGCTTGCTGAGTGGTTGTATTCCCGATCCACTGCGATTTAAGGTATTTTCTTTACCCCCAAGCTAACTCAAAGGGTAAAGGCCAGGAGTAAAGGAAATCGCAAGCCAGCATTGATCTTCTTAAATCTATTACCTGTATTCCCAAACAAATCCTTTAAATTCATGGCCAATTTTTCCTTGCGATTTAAAGGTTTATAATCCCAAAAGCATATGATTGCAAGGTATGCGTGATTTTCTCTTTGCTATAAATCTATCCAGTTTGGTTGGTGTCCGCCTTGACGTCATCCAGAGTAGTGATGTCAAAGTGCATTATGGGTTTCCAGGCAAACGATTGCCATCAACGACAAGTACATATAACAATGTTTATGGTCAGTGATCAACACCCAATATCTCAGGCAAATGAAAGAAAACAGCAAACTCATCAATGGTGGCTTCAACAAGTGGATGGAAATCCTTGCTGGGAAAGATTTACCAACGAAATTGGGCAAGAGCAAAAACGTTGCCATGAAATACAGCGAGAGCAATGGCACAGTAAATTAAGGCAAATGCAGTCAACAAGAGACAGAGGTTACAGCAACCACAAATATGCACTTTATAAACAATAAAGTTATGTTATTTCACAAATAATTTATTGCACTTAAGGGTTAGCTTTTATTAAGCAAATGAAACTGTATATTAGCTGGCAGTTGTCCACCATCACCCCCATTTCCTTTTGACCAGGGTTATACATGTAGGAGGGTCAAATGGGCAATTCCAGAAAATATCCATACCCTACCACGGACGGCTTCCATGTTTTATCCCCCCCTTGCCTTCGGAAATTCCAAAATGCGTTACCCCCCCATGCCCTCAGAATTCCATAATCGTGAACCCCCCCTCCCCTTCAGAATTTCCATTTTTTTGGAAGTACATTTTCAACTTAGCAACGCCTATATGAACAAACGAACATGACTTTATGCCTCCTCAAATGCAAGGCTGTGATCTAGCGGCGCCAGGCGACAAGCTTTCAGACTCTAACCTACCGCTAGTAGACAGGCTGTGCAAACTCCTTTTTAGGTCCGAATTTGGCAATAAAAATAAACACCACTAACGGCAATTTTACTCCTCTTTGTTTTCTTGTGCTGTTTTGACGTTTACAAAGCAAAATAGCTCAAATTCAGACCGTTAAAATCTTTCGGTGGTCAAATATGCCGTCGAGGCGTGTTGCGTCCTTTTATACGTCATGTAGTGTGCACGAAAAGTGTTCTAATCTGACAGGCGCGCCAGGCGTTCCTTGGAAGCCAGGGACTGGTGCGAGTTTTTTTACTGTTCATCGGACGGGAGTAACAAGAAACTTGCAAGCAATAAGATACATGTATATTCCGTTTTTTTTTTTCATGTGACAAGAAATTCATCAAGGTTAATGTAAAACCCACGTTTTACTGTTCACTTCTATAAGTTATGAGCGTAAACACGTGTCTGATCTATCGATGCTTGTCTTCTGCTTCCGCGGTCATACGTTCGTGGTTTATTTACGAACTACAAAAGTCCACAACAATAGCGTTTTCAAGGAACTCACTCTACACTTTCTACTCCAGAAATCCCACCTGTGGAATTCCGCCATGCCTTCGGATTTCCAATCGTAAATACCCCCCATGCCCTCAGAATTCCATAATCGTGAACCCCCCCTCCCCTTCGGAAATCCTAAAAGCCGTCCGTGGTATGGTATGGATATTTTCTGGAATCGCCCAATGGGGTGAACACAGGATAGGATCTATGAAGCTTCCTTAAGCCTGGTTTTCACTAGCCCATGCATAACCATAAGCATAAGCACAAGAAAAATGGACAAGTTCGTTCTTCTTGTGCTTATGCTTATAATTATGTCGTAGCTTTGACTAGTGAAAGCAGGGTCAACATAAGGACGACCATAAGCACAAGTACGTGGACCAATCATAAGTCACTTTGACCCAGACCTCATGCAAACATACTACAAGCAATATGGCAGATGCTTCGTCACGAAGTTCTGCAATACACGTATCTCTAGTAAGAATTATGCAATATGATACCATACAACCATACAGGTTAATGATTTCTGGGCTCGGGTTGCCTGTGATTGCAATCCATGCTCAAATAAAAAAAAGGTCTAAAACAAAATATTGTCAGCAGACCACTTTTATGAAAATACCTGGGAATGGTCCATCACCCGGTGGCAGAAACAACGTCCCTCGGATTCTCCCTTCTCTTACAGGAACTCTCTTTACTCCATCCGCCATGTACGACTTTTGAAATGTTCCGCTTGACAATGGCTGCAGCGATGTTTCGCGTGGAATTACATGACCATCAAAACAGTTCACGATAATATCAAACGGCAAAGTAACATCTCTTTTAAAAAGTCGGATTCCTTTTTTTTGCCCTGGTGCCTGCTTCAAGCTCCATATCAACCCCATGGGTTCAACACCACTGTAAGATCCACCTATGGACAGGTCGTGGCCAACATCGACATTGCCGTCTTTATCAGCAACATAATGAGCGTATGACTCGAACAATTCGCCTTTATCTCCGAATAACTTCGCTTCAAGAGTTATACTTTGCAGCGGTTTTAAATTCGTGACACGAATTTCAGTTATCTCGTCCGCCAGAGAAGATTTCGGTACAAAAGCGAACATGTTATCGACCTCCAGCCTGCCGAAATTATTGGACCAAGTGTTACAGGTGAGGGTGGGGTCACAGTTGACAGAGTTGAAAAAGATAGATCAAGGACCACCGGATCAAGGATCACCGGATCAAGGAGCAAGGATCAAAAATCAAGGATCAAAGATCAGTTGAAAATATATCTTTATCAGCAACATAATGAACGTATGACTCGAACAATTCGCCTTTATCGCGGTTACAATTAAAATTGTAAATGTCGGTGCAATTTCAAAACTTGAAGCTGTTTTTAGCGACTGCCGCTACTGACCCCAAACCCTTAAAGGAATGCCTCTGTCGGAAGCAACAAGTCGAAAATCTCAAGAACACACATTGGAGAATTGAATTTAGTTCTTAGCTTTACGTGATTTTTTTTAAAGAAAGTACCTGACGCCTAATAATAATAATAATAATAATAATAATTTTTTTTTGTCACCAGCAGGCAGGAACGTTATGCTGCGTGAAATGGATGTTTTCGCAGGCTAGAACATAAAGGACTTTGACGTTTGCCGAATCTCTGTTCAGTCTGTTACTTGACAACTTCAACAGGGGAACCGCACCAACGCAAAAGCAGCAGTGCTTAAAAATCTGGGATGATTTCCGTGACTACATTTTCCTTGCATTAAACTTGTAAATCACGGTTTTCTGCGAAGGGCATGAATTTCCGGTGATTGATCAGCAGCCACAAGATAACATCGCTGTTGACAGACAGGCTGTTTTTTATTTTAATTTAAAATCGTGTTGCTGAATATATATATCATGTAAAGACTTAATTGGTTTCGAGTGCATTTTGCACTGATTGGGCACTTAAAAGTGAAGTGGTTGTTTGGTGTTTGTCCTTTAAGAGAACCAGAATAATTATAACGGTGTTTTTATTTTATTAGATGAAATAATTTAACAAATATCGTATGTTTCCCTTTGCCAAAGAGAGAAATAATTATGTTTTCCTCCCCATCCAATTACGAACTGTCTTCCAGGCCTTCACTTAAAAGAAGTGAGAACTATAGGGTAGCAATAATATAACTATCTTATGACCTCTTATGACTTGGAAAGCTATTAGATGAGATGAATGATTGACTAAAGAAAAATCACGTACAGTGAAAAGAAAAAAGAGCTGCAAAAAAACGGACAGTACAATACAAAATTTCCAAATGTATTAAACAGCATTCTGACGCTACTTAAGATTAATTTGAGTTATTTGGAACTTTTTTATTAAACAATTTCTCACGACTATTGAAAATGTAAGGTTTGAAATGTATTTACGTTTTATTTGAATTCAAACATATAGAATTTTTTATTTCTCACGGAGGTTATTTGCTAAACACCACACTTTAAGCTCCTGGTGTCGGGTCTAGATCGCACAAAATTTGGCTTTTATAGATTTCAGAGTTTTTTGTTTATTGTTGTCATAGTGATGTCGATTTTACTTAAAACTTCATTTTGACTAATTTCTATGCAATAGTAAATCACTGGTGTAAATTTTATAGCGATCGGACAAGGATAAAATCGCCACCTTTACTGGCAATTGAAAAATATCGGTATGGTCTTCGAAAAACTGTATGGAAACACCTTAAAAGTTTTTTAGTTTTTTATCAGTAGTATTTTCACACGGTTTAATTTAAAACACTGCGAACCGACCGGAGTAAAATGAACTCATTCAATTTTTTGAACAATCATGGGATGGGAGGGACGTCTGTACACAGGCTAGCGCGCGTGCCGGCATGCATTAGCAGAATTTTTAAAATATGTCTACTTCATTGTAATTTTTGCTGATCAGGTCTTTCCTACGTTCGGCATATTCGTTTGCGGTCCTTTGCAGTCCTTTGTGGTTAATTTTTGTACTTTATGTATTTTGGGGCCGTAGATCTTTTATAGATCCGATATGCTGTATTTTTGCATGGTTCTGTCCATGTTTTTGAGGTTGGTTTCTGGCCAATCCTTCATTTTCTTTGCGAGACATCAACTTGTCACTTGGACTCTTGCCCCCCATAAGACAACTGGTATGGCGTGATTCTGTTAGACTGCGAACAGTCTCTTTTTCTTCAGATTTCGTAAGGAGAGTGCACGCGCGCGCGAGCGTTGAGCGGCGAGGCCGCGAGACGCGAGAAACGAGGTCGTGCCTCTCCCGTTTCGCGCCTTCAGTCACGCGCGTGGTCATTTGCGTGTCTCGGGTGTTTTGCGCGACGGACCAGGGAAAAAGAGAGACTGCTCGTAGTCTATGATTCTGTGGGTGTTGAGAGTTCAGGGTCCGCAGTTTGATCGCAAGGTATATTTTCCAAATTTCCAAAGATTCTTTCTTCTCTTTGTTCCAGTCATATACTTGACCATTGTCACTGAACCGTTCACCATAACTTGCTTCAGCTGAAACTTTTTCTTTTAAAACCTCTTCTTCCAAACTTGACAATTCTTTGACTCCTCCTCGCTCACAGTTCAGTATATCTGAAGGACTGGAAAGGGAGGTAAGATATTTGCTAAAGCGGGCATTATTGTCACCAGACAACATGTATTTCAGTTTCCTTTCCACTTTCTCTATCTTGTTCTTTATTTCCCACCTCTTGCCATGCTTCATGATTAAATAAGTCTCAAATCCTGATTCACTCATACGACATCTTACCTCAAACAACCCAGGTAAAAACTGGACACTGGTCTACTCACACTAACTCACTCCAGGGACCTGTTTCTCCGCGGTCACTGTAACTTTTCAGGCCCACAAAGAAATTTTCAAATCAAAATCTAAAAAATGGTCAAAAATAAGAGAGCAGGTCCATTGAAACTAAAACCTGATTAAGTTATATCATGTTATCTGCAATTGCTGACAACTAAATATTTTGAATGTAAACAACAACAGCTTTCCGGGTTCATTATTTGCCCGGGCTTTTAATAAAAAATTGTTATAAACTTTATTTATATAGTGCTCTTCCAAAATCTCCATAGCGCTTTACAGAACTCATAAGAAGAAATATAATGAACTGAAAACGTACATCAAAATAATGATAATAAAAAGAATACCTGACGAATTACTTTAAAGTTACGATAAAAATCCTACTTAAAAATTCTACCCTGCACTTGAAACTAAATCCCTAAAAATTAAAACAATAACATCTAGAAGTTGTATGATTAGATATTCTATAATTTATTATGCTGAATAAAAAAAACGTAGTCCCTATAAGTATGTTTGAAAAGGTAAGTCTTAATGTTGGTTTTAAACTCTGATAATGAGGCACTTCTGCAAATATACCCCAGGAGTAGAAAAAGGTAGATTAACAAACTACAAACTGCTCTTTACATTTCTCATCAAATGTTGTTGCATGAATAGTAAACTTTTGTCCCAATAAATCATCTGTCCCATTGCATGAGACTTAGGTTGCCCACCCCACACGACTTGCTCTTTGGAAAAGCTGCTATAAGATGAATAGCATAATGGAGAATGGGGTGGATCGACCATATGGCCAGCACCTGGCAATCGCAACATAGTGCAAAGAGAATCCTTATTCACTGCTTTTAAACGGTCATATATGTACCGTGAGGTTAATTCGGCATTCATGTTCAAATCTTCTGTGCTATATACTAGTAAAATAGGACAAAAAATATTTTCCACCGGAGTCAAGGCTGGCAAGTCAGCCAATGGATTAGTTGTCTCCTCGGAAGCTGCAAAGCAGAATCTGACAATTATTCCCTGATCTGTATATTTTACTGCTTCTGCTGGGAAGTTGTATGTATTTGACAACTTTCCTTTGTACCTGTATGCAGTATTTCTGATAGCAAAATACCATGGTCCTACTGCTACCACAGCCTTCACTAGATCAGTGCTATAACTTGCAAGAAGCAAAGCAAGCCATGTTCCCATGCAATGAGAATGGAGTGCTATACCACCTGGTATGACCTTAGGATGTTGGTACAGCCATTTTGCTGCCTCTTCAATGTAATCCAGTTCAACATATGGACTTGGGGATGAAGGAAGATCATCATATATAGCCAAAATAGGCCAGTGCTAAGGCGGCGAATCCACGAGAAGCTAACAAGGAGGCCTTGAATTCAACCAGTCCTCCTGTGCCACCAAGAAGATCCATTACTCCTACAGTGTAAAACAGAAGACTTTCATCAATACACAAAAGAAATAACCTTATTACATAGACACTGATGAAATACCAGGATTTTTCCTTTTAGTAAAAAATCATATCTTCATCACACGCAGTGAAGATACTATTTTTATCTTTCACATGTGAGGATATTGGTGTCGCTATGGTTACTAACATATGCTTTTGCTGTTAAAGAATTTTTCTCTTCTTCATTAGAATTTTGACTTTTTGGAACAGAAAATATAAGTACTACTGTCTTGATTTCTCCTCTATAACTTTATATCCGAGTTTCATAACATTTTTGTGACAGGCATTTTGCAGTAGGTGACCACTTATATTGCACTATTTAGTGGTTTCGAAAAAGAATAAAAAAAGTTGTGTTTTATGTAGGAATTTCATCAGTATCTATAAAATAAACAGAACATTACATAGCAGCTTGAGGATACGAATTTTATCATCTCGTGCTGAAAGTATCTCTAACTCGTTCGCTTCGCTCACTTGTGAGAGATACTTTCAGTGCTCAAAGATAAAATTCGTATCCCCAAATGGCCATGTAATATTCTCTATATCCTAGTACAGTAGACTGTGCTTGGCACAGTTTATACAGTAAAACTCCATCAATATGGACACTGAAGGTGGCCATAGAAGGTGTCCGTGTTCATGGGGTTTCTGTATTAAGTGGTTGAATTAAGAGAAAATGCAGGGGCTAGGGACAAGGAAAACTGTCTGCAATAACCAGGTGTCCGCCTTAAGCAGGTGTCTGTAATTAGGCGGGGTTTGACTGTACTACTATTTACCTCAATTCAATTGTTCCTGTAGCTCAGTTCATTGTGCTTAAAACTTGTACCACTTGGCAAAATGGCTTTATCAACAAGATCCTGTCCAGATTAATGTCAGACATTGGTAAAGCATTACAGGTATTAATCTTTTCTAGGTACTTAAAATAACTAATTTTCTGAGTACACAGTAAGTAACATTTTGATCTCCTATTACTAGTGCAAAGTCCAATATGTATTGTTCCCAGTGATTTTACAGTGATTGTACAGCATCAACTGTCAATGCTCAAGTGGGATGCTAGATTCATGGTGTAATCTTTTCCTCCTTTTAAGTAGACGGCTTCGTCAAGTGGTTAGGGCGCTGGACTTGTAATTTGGAGGCCCCCAGCTCAAGTCCCGTCCCGACTGCTAGCTGGATTTGATCTTGGCAGTCCCTTGTTCAGTTCCTCAGCCACACTTGTAAATAGCCAGCAGGTTTGCCTCCTACTGGTTGGGATTTTTACCCATGTTATGTTTCATTTAAATTATTTGTTTCATTATCCCTGAAAAGCCCCATAGGGGGAGAGGGTAATATTAAAGTATTCTTATTATTACTACTATTATTATTATTCCCACTCTTCTCGCCCTAAAGTGGGCAAAGAAGTTATTATTGTGTTGTTACTTTGTTTGTCACTCATAGAGCTGTAGGTGGTTATTTTTTATCAATAAAGCCTCTCTCTGTGCCAAAAAATCAGGGCCACCTTAATTCAAACGTAGTTTAGCCAGTCAGTTTAACAAAACCATGTTTCAAGCCACTTTCAACTTGTCCAATGGTTTTATCTAAACACCATTTTATTGTAAAAAGTTAATGAAGGCATATGGAGCAGACTAGAAAAGCATTTATCTTCCTAAAATAATCCACTAAGGAAGAGACCTGGAGGTCCTAAGATTTGTTAAACTGCAGCTTAAGTTAGACTTTGTTTAAATAACCAACCCTCTCAGTGTGTCAGCATCATTTATTTGTAGTATTTAGTTTATGAAGAAAATTATAAGTATACACAGGTAAAATTCTGCAAAGTACACTTACTTTATCCCAGGATGTTTCTCATGCAGGTGAGAAACAAAACTGCAAATAAAAAATTATATAGACTGAAAACACACCAGGTTAATTTCCTCAATTGGCACACTTGTTACTTAATGCTTAATTGCATCTTTCTTCAAAGTTTAGCTCGATTTGACCTTACAATGTAGAAACAGTGAGAAATGTTGCACCAAATCACCAGTTCAGCAACAAAACCCACTTTACATTTAGCAACTCCAAATATTTTATTCCTATGTCAAATTCAATTCAGTTGTTAGGTGTGAACTCCTCAGAACCTCTAATTTTCCATTACTGTTGTTGTGAACAATAAATTCTTGTAAATACAGTGATACATTTTGCCCTCTATATAAATTTCTGCCACATTGTGGGCTTAA